ATCCGCGAATTTTTTTGTGAAAATCCGCGAATTATTTTTGTTTTGTTTTACGATGTACACAAAGAGAACATGTTCACAACTAATTTAGAAGATGGGCGCGAAGCGCCCTCTAAGGCTAGTTAAATTAAGTTCATATTCCATCCTATTCCGGGGACCACCATAAAATTGGGTGTTAGAAATATTGGAATTAGTGGACACTGGACACTGAACTGCGATCAAAAGCATTTTTTACATACAGGGTGTCCCACATCATATTAGATCGCGCATAGCTCAAAATTGTGATTTTAGGGACAAATCAGAAAATCTAAAAACAATGAATCATTTTTTAAAAATGTAAAAGGTTTTTATAAGTTTTCTTGCAGAAAATATTAGGTTTTTCGAGTATTATGTGCGTATATTGGCGTTAAAGCTTGGAGATAAATCTATTATGATATGGGACGCTCTCTATAAGGATTTAAAAACATTTCTAAACTGTCCTCGAACTTTTAAAAGCTGTGAATTTACAAAGTTTCTTATTATGATTCAGTTTTCATTGTGACATTTTTATTTTTATTTAAAGTTTCTGATCAAATATTGCTTTTGGAAGCATATAAATTATGACCTTATTTAAAGTGGCTTGTTTTGATCAGAAAGGTAGATAAATATTGAATCCGATCTTTGCTGTCAGTAAAAAAATTAACATAAAGAAATCAATGTCAAGAAAGTAGATTAAAAAAATTTGCTAATGGTTAAAAGTGGTCGCGATTTTCTGCTATTTCTGTGTATATTATAAATTGTAAATTACAGTGCGCTGTCTCTTATGGCGTTTGTTCCATGAAGCCTGGTATCAAAATACACTTTAAATATTATTTTATATTTTCAGCATTGAGAAACCATTTTGAATGTAAATGCTGTGAAAATATAAAATTCAATAAAGATAAAATCCCCCTAATCTTCTATTCCTAACCTTAACCGGGAAAATATGTAATTTGAGTCCGAGGGGAATAAAAAAGATAAAAGAATAAAAAATCGATAACTTAAACTTAGCTCACATACACGCACGAGGTAGATTTAAAAAATTTAATTTTGTTAAATCAGGATTATTAATGCATTCGGCGGGAAAATACACAAAAATAGAAATAAGGGATTTTGATATTTGATGGCCAAATGACATAGCGTGCTTCTAAGAAAGGTTAAACTTTCGTTTCTTAAAAAACATACTGGATGATAAAAAAAATTTATGCAATATTGGATGTTTTTTTCTATTTATGGTTTCTTTTGTAAAAAAAATCTGTTATTCATATCCATCTTTTAATAATTCTTTTTAAAAATGATGATACTTTTTTGTAGTTTAGATAATTTCGTTGAATTAAATAATTTTCGATTTTTGACATGTTTTAAGCATTAGAATATTGACATATCACCTTACAAAAATGGTGTTAAAAAAACACATTTAAAAAGTTGTCACTTGTCACTATTTTTTTTTTGGTACCTTGGGTTTAAATTTTAGCAAATCCAGTTTAGTATATTCACATTTTGAATTTAAATATACTATAAAAGTTGTCTAACTCATGTCGTGCAAAATCAGATAGAAAAGTCGATAATTTTCAATCTAAATTTGTGAAAGGGGAGAGTAAAGTAAATCTATTGTAAGCTCCCATAGTTTAAATAGAACTAGTATTGAACATTCACACTAACTTTCAAACACTCGGAGCATTTAAATATTATAAAGTATTTATTTTTAACTTTAGATAGGTTCAAAGAAAACATATAGAAAGAAACAGAGGTGGAAACTTTAGAATGAAATATCCAGATATCCCGTCGGATAATTAATCTGAAGATTAAAGTCATTAGGAAAACAAGCAATATTTAATCTGGAGATTAAGAAAAAGAGTGGATTAAGCCTTAATCCTGATATCCACCATTCTAAAGTTTCCACCTCAGTTAGAAGAAATTTTAAGTGCCCTCTATATTAACAGATTAACAACACCCATTAAAACCATATTAAAACCATATATTTGTTTTTCTATCAAAAAAAAAATTAATTGCCACTCGATAGTTGAGGGTTACTTTAAATTACATTTTCAGCCTCTTTATTGTGAAATTAGAGGAGTTTAGAAGTTCCATTTTCCGTCGACGAATGCTTCCTTGTGATAGGTCGATATGTGTTTTTCTAAACTATTCTTTGTGCTGTAAAGTTTTCCGCATCGCGAGCAGGGATGACAGGGTGTACCGATAAAATGTCTGCTCTCAATATGATCCTTCATCCTGTACTTTCTCTTGATAACCCTGGTACAGATGAGACATCTCCAGGTATCCTTGCACGAGGTGTCGTCCAGGACCGGAGTCATATATCCGGATACATCTACAGAGTACAGATATAGGTTACACTTCGAGGTACAGGATACATTTGGAGGTATAGGATACATTTGCAGATATAGGATACATTTGGAGATATAGGAAACATTTGGATATAGGATTCACTTTCAGATATAGAATAAAATTTGCAGATATAGGATACATTTGCAGTCATAGTATACATTTGCAGATATAGGATACAATTGCAGTTAGAGTATACATTTGCAGTTATAGGATACAATTGCAGTTAGAGTAAACATTTGCAGTTATAGGATACAATTGCAGTTAGAGTATACATTTGATGTTATAGGATACAATTGCAGTTAGAGTATACATTTGCAGATACAGAATACATTTGGAGATACGGATATATTTGTAGATACAGAATACATTGCATATATAGGATACATTTGCAGATACAGGATTCATTTACAGATATAGGATACATTTGTAGATACAGGATACAATTTGCACATATAAGATACACTTGCAGATATAGGATACAATTGCAGATACAAGATACATTTGCACATATAAGATACACTTGGAGATATAGGATACATTTGATTTGCACATATAAGATACACTTGCAGATATAGGATACAATTGCAGATACAAGATACATTTGCACATATAAGATACACTTGGAGATATAGGATACATTTGTAGATACAAGATACATTTGCACATATAAGATACACTTGGAGATATAGGATACATTTGCAGATATAGGATACATTTGCAGATACAAGATACATTTGCACATACAAGATACACTTGGAGATATAGGATACATTTGTAGATACAAGATACATTTGCACATATAGGATACACTTGGAGATATAGGATACATTTGCAGATATAGGATACATTTGCAGATACAAGATACATTTGCACATATAAGATACACTTGCAGATATAAGATACATTTGCAGATACAAGATACATTTGCACATATGAGATACACTTGCAGATATAGGATACATTTGCAGATATAGGATACATTTGCAGATACAAGATACATTTGCACATATAAGATACACTTGCAGATATAAGATACACTTGCAGATACAAGATACATTTGCACATATAAGATACATTTGCACATAAATTTAAGATTCGTTTATGGACAATTTACAAATAACAGTTTTTTTAAAATAATCTATGCATCATATGTATCATGTATTATTAAAATTTAATGATATAATCCTGAAAAAAATATTTTTAGAACAAAAAATGAAGATATCCAGTTGCAATACATAAATATTTCCTATAAATTCTATTAGATAAAGAAAATTTAATACAATAGAATAAAGTAGTTGACAAAAAGATATACAGATTCTAAAACGGGTATGACAGCTAAGAATACATATTCAAGATAAAAATACGTACAATATACATTGCATATGTACATTTTATACATTATTTGGCTGTCATTTACTGGAAGAAACAGAGAAAGTACAATTGTCAAGTGGACCAAATTCTCCTATTTTTTTTTGGCAGAAAAAAGTGAACTATCAAAGAAAATAAAGATAAGTACAATAATTTCCCATATATTTATATTCTAATCTGGTTTGATTTTCAATCTTAATGAAAGGTTTTTTATCTATTTATATTTATAAGCTCTAGAGATGAACACACATTGTTTCATTTTTTATGATAAACCGCCAGATGGGTTTGAAGACTGTTCTTTGTTGAATATGTTTTGGCGCAAAAATGACAGGAATATCCGGGAAATCCGCCAAAATGGCGACTGGTCACGTGATCTTTCATTCTACATCTCCGGCGGATAATCTTAGCGCAGATGGTACACCTCCATGTCTCTGGATCCAGTGGGTTGACCAGCTCCATATATTCGGACACGTCTACCACAAAATTAATTTATTGATTGATTCACAAAATAGTTTATTTATACTGAGGGTTGTCATTTTATTACACTTTATTGCTGTGATATAAAGCCATATGGTTCTGCAGACTGTTCTTAGTAGTGTACTGTTTATTACACAGATTGCAGATATGGTTTGGTGAATTGAACAAATGGCGGCTCTCGATGTGATCCTTCATTCGACATTTACGCTTTACTACTTTCCCACAGAGAGTACATTTCCACGTATCGAAGTGCAGATATTCCATGTACTCAGACACGTCTTAAATAAAGGTTCATCAAACGAATGACAATGTTCAGTGAAATGTGAAGGTTGTCATTTATAGCTGGGAATTTTAGAAATAAATAAATAAAAAATTACCAACGAACACTTTCGATGAATTGAAAGGGAGGGACGCGATAAGCCTTGCGAAATGGTCTCCAAGCCTCTGTATTCGCTGACCTGGCGTTACCCCTCTCCTTTAGAATTAATATTTTAGAAGTAATGTATAAAATATTTTGGAAAAAATATTTAATATTATAATAGTTATGAAGGTTTTTTAGATATTCAAGAAAATACTGCATAACTTTTAAAGATTAACTTATATAATATCTATTCTAACGTGTATGGGTAGTGCCAGGTCATTTTAAATACTCATTTACGAATACGGAGGCTTGGGGACTACTTTGTGGGGCGCATGGCGGCACTACACCCCCTCCCTCGTCTTTATGAATGAATATTAGCTCGGAGGTAGGATTAAAACTAGCTTTAAATTAATCTTTAAAAATTAAATGTTAATTTTTTTAAATTTTACAATATATTTCTTTTTTAAATATTCACATGATAGGTGGATACATCGTTCTAGATATTCTTATGATAGACTGATACATGGTTCCAGATATTCTTATGATAGGTGGATACATGGTTCCAGATATTCTTATGATAGGTTGATACATGGTTCCAGATATTCTTATGATAGGTTGATACATGGTTCCAGATATTCTTATGATAGGTTGATACATGGTTCTAAATATTCTAATAATAGGTTGATACATGGTTCTAAATATTCTTATGATAGGTTGATACATAGTTTTAGATATATTCTAATAATAGGTTGATACATGGTTCTAAATATTCTTATGATAGGTTGATACATAGTTTTAGATATTTGTATGACAGGTAGATACATGGTTCTAAATATTCTAACGATAGGTTGATACATGGATGGTTCTAAATATTCTTATGATAGGTTGATACATGGTTTTAGATATTTTTATGGCAGGTTGATACATGGTTCTAAATATTCTAATGATAGGTTGATCCATGGTTCTAAATATTCTTATGATAGGTTGATACATGGTTCTAAATATTCTTATGATAGGTTGATCCATGGTTCTAAATATTCTTATGATAGGTTGACATGGTTCTAAATATTCTTATGATAGGTTGATCCATGGTTCTAAATATTCTTATGATAGGTTGATACATGGTTCTCCGTTCTAAATATTCTTATGATAGGTTGATACATGGTTCTCCGTTCTAAATATTCTTATGACAGGTTGATACATGGTTCTAGATATTCACATGATCGGTTGGTACATTGTTCTAAATATTCTTATGATAGGTTGACATGTGATTTTGAAGACTGTTTCTCGTAAGATAGTTCTTAGCACAGTAAACACACGTGTGGGTCATCGTGTTCAAATGGAGACTCTCAACATGATCCTTCAGGATATATTTTCTTTTGCAAACCTGGACAGTCGTTAAACATTTATCGTTGAATCATAACCAAATTACCAACAGAAATCATTTCCCAAATTTTGTCATCCTGCTCTTTAATTTGTTCATGATAGATCTAAAAATTATCCATGAATTAAAAGTTTTTGTCAGACTAGTTCAAAATATTATGAAAAGAAAAATGTGAAAAAAATTAAGATCAAAGATTTAAATAATGTTTTTCCTTGCTACAAACTAGACATTGCCAGGATTCACTTCCATTAACCTCAACCATCTTCATGTACACTTCCACTTCTAAAATTTGAACTTTTATCTACACGTACTTATCAATTTGAATTCTTATTTACACTTCTAAATATTCAAATTTCAGCATCTACATTTTCACTCCTAAAATGATATTTAATGCACACCCACTCTGTTTAGTATTCAAATTATTATTTATTGTACAGTTCCACAACAAAAATAGGGATTTTTATGTAATCGTCCACTTTTAATATCAAAATCATCATGCACAATTTTTCTTTAAAATTACCAATCCTTGTGTACGTTTACTTATTTTTTCCACTTTATGTAGTGTTTATTGATACATTCTACAATTACCAATCTACATTAGCCCTGTACCAAGGACAGTGCTCACTTACACTTTTCTATTTCTAAGTTGTTCAAACATGGTTAACAATTTTTACACGTTCACAATTTCTACACATAGTTCACATTTTATCACAAAAACCTAACAATCTTCTACGTATATCAAAACAGTTATTTAGGTATTATTAAAAAACCATGAGCTGTCATTTTAAGTGTTTAATTAGAAGTAAGCTCTTTATTTTTAAAAAACAATATATTAACAAAAGAAATGGTATGCTAGAAGTATGTTACAAATCGTTAGCTTTGGCACTAATTCCGTGCACACTACGCATGTGCGTGAGAAACCCTTGCCATGTTCTCTTCTCCTCCCTACACATTCTGCACATATACATCCTTGTAGTATGCTTAGCCTCAATATGACTCCGAAGATTACTGGAGTTCCTGAACCCAAGGTTGCAGAGGGAGCAGGAGAACTGTTTCAAACCCATCCTGTCGGTCGAGGTCAACATCATTCTCTTCACCTCCTCCCACAACACTAAACAACCGAATCGATCAGGACTACTTAATCCAACAGCAATTACAAACACAACGATTGAGCTGTCATTCATTTTTTATTTTTCATTTTATCTTTCATAAAATTAAGAGAATTGGAGGCAAAGAAGAATTATGACGACTTTAGTATTTTTATCCGTTTTCTTTTATTAAGTTTGATGCAGGCCTCGGAAGCTCTAATATTACGAGAACAATAAAACCAGATTTATGAAGATTGACATTTTATTCCTCTTTATTATACAATTGGTCATTTAATAGTAATATTATATTTTATAATAATTAAACAAATGTTACGAGTTTCTCTTAAAAATAAAAATTGGAAACTTGATTAACGAGATTTTTAAAATGTAGATCCATCAATGATTTCTTTATGATTTCTTCTGTTATGCATTTTTAGATTGGCACTTGTGCTCCCCACATAATCACAAATATTACAGGGAAAACTGAGCATCTGTAGATGGTTAGTTTGCACGTGGTTTTTGAGCGCGGTTTTCCATTTTGAAACCTTGAGACAAGACACACATCTCCAGACTGTACCACGAACCTCACAATGTATCTTCTCTATATGCTCGGAGACCAGGAGATCAACCTCTACGATAGAATAGATCAAGATATGTTTTCATCTAAAGTAGATATTACCACTAGGGCTGTCATATCTCTGGAAAAAGTTTTGATGTGAATAATTTTGGAAGATCCTGTTTTATTTCATTAGTTTTTAATTTCATTATGATCCCATCTTAAGTCTGTGGTTTCTATGCATGTGCATTCGCAGAGCACCTTTAGAGGTTAATATTTTGTCACATTCAGTACATGGATATACGTTGTCCAGATGTTGTCCTTCGATATGTTCTTTCAGATTATTCTTCGTTTTCACCATTTTGTCGCATATGGTACACTGCCATAGATATCCTCCCATCGAGGTTACAACCGTCCTCATGTGGACATCAAGATGAGAATATTCTAAACATCAAGTTTTCTCAAAATATGTCAAAATAATTCTATTAATATTTGTAATGAAACTACGGGCTGTCATATATGTCTTAACTTTGCAGAAACAATTTTACTTTTCTCTCAAACTTTTAATTAATAAATAATTGTATTTATTTAAGAAAACACATATTTTACTAAATGTACATCAATTCTACTTGTACCCTCTTCCATTTTTTTCCCGGTAAAATGCTTAAATTGAAAATGACTTCATAAACATGTCTTTCTTTGACTAGATATGCCAATTTCTTATATGCCCCCGGAGCGCGGGTTGACTATTGCAAACTTTAATACAATTAGGATATGTGCACGGATACTGCATTTGCAAGTGGAGAGCTTCAATATGATTTTTCAGATGATCTTTCTTGTTAAATCCTTTTCCACATTGAACACAGATCCAACGCTTCCCTCCCGTTTCCACGGATTCAGCGCTACAACTCATGAAGGATTCAATCGCAACTGAAAACGAAATTGTTTCAAACATTTTATCAATCCAGAAATAAGGGGACACTGTGGGCCGGTCTTCACGTCAATTCTTGGAAGCTTTCTGTGAAGCAGAATCTTGAATATAAACTCCAGCTTAGTATAGGTTTGTTTAGAGGGTTCTGTAGGTACAACAAGTATGAAAGATGAACGAGTCTTTAACAATTTTTAATAGAAGTACAGAACTTTCTTCTCTAAATACACCTTACATTTCGAAAAGAAAATAATTTTAAAGCTCGCATTTATTCTAAAAAAATGCTTTCGTATTTAGTATAAAGCATTCGTAACGATTTTCTCTCTAGAGACACTAAAATTATATTTTCTAGTTCTTTCTCTTAACAATCCTAATAAGGGATTAAAAGTCTTTCCGTTTTAAAGTTTTAATGAGGATAAAACTAGAACTTGAGTCTTCAGACCGTCTTGATGTATCAAAGCGAGGGACTCAAAGAACCATAACATCCATAAATACTATTTAATTCATGACATAATTTTTCATAACAAAAAAAATTAATTAATAACCAGCAAAAAAGTGCGTTCAATTTTTTTCAATGATCTATACATTAAAAGTTTTAGAAATGCATAAAAAAGTATACTTATTTAAACGAGTTCTTCACTTTTATGAGGTATTTTTTTTAAAAAAATGAGATCTATTTCTACTTTGCGTTGTAGAAATAGATAAAAAAAACAGATTTACATTTAATAGAAAGAATTATGACGATCAGCGAGAATTCTTTACATTTTTTAAATTTTAATATTGGTATAATAATTTGCAGCTATTAAGTTCAGATATGTAATTTTTGGACCTGTAAAAATGTCCCGAAATCTAATATTAATTAATCTGATGTTAACAACTTAATATTAATGCATATAAGTATTGTGATATTGCTTAGGCTATTTGGAGATGATGACAAAGTTGGTGATTTATGTAATTTTATCATTCAAAAATTTACTATAAAAGACATTTTTAGCTTGGAGTGATTGAATTGGTGTTTAAAAATAAATCTGACTGACCTATCCTAATCTTATATTCATTTAAAATGTTACAAGAAATACAATATAAATAGAATAGAATTGACCCTCTCGGTACTTACTGTGGGATTTAGAAATACTACTATGCATAATTTGTACAATACTACGGACAGAAAACTTGCCAAGTAGNTGAGTAAGTTCGGGATTATTGTTTAAGAATAAACGGACCTACGTGATCAAGAGCTTCTCTTAATGTTGGAATTAAATAAATGGCACATTCTGCCTCGGTTAAACTTCTTTTTGCCAGTGTAAATGACAGCCCACAGTAATTACAATTTAACAAGAAGGGAAGAAAATTTGAATTGAATTTTAAGTAATTTTTCTTTCTTTCTTGTGTTTCATAAGAAAACAAAATATTTTGCCATTTTTTACGCTCTTAACAGTTATGACAAAATATTTTGATTTTAAAAAGACAATTTCATGAAACAATTTCAATCTTTGTCTTGTAAATTTACGAGATAATGTATCATGATGCAATAAAACAATCGCCTTGAATGAAGCCTACTACGTCACAAAGTTTTCCTGTTTTTCATAATATTCGTCATTGTGCGGAAATAAAGTCGACGATAATTTTTAAGTATGAAAATAATAAGAACGTAGAATTATCTGTCAGAAAACTAGTTCTGTAAGAATACCATGAACAAATGGAAAAGGAGGTTCAAATGCAATTGTTTTACTTGAGCAACAAAGTACCAGATTCCAAGGTTTTGTGTACAGAGAGAACCAGAGAACATGATCAAATCACTTTTAGCTTTTAAAATGCTCATTTTCGTCTGACATATCTTGAACCCCAAATTATCAAAAGTCAACATCGGAATCAGTGTCTCATGTTTTCTGTATCTCAGTGTATACTGTATAGTCATCACATTTCAAATCTACCAAATCTTTATATTTGCTAAACATGTAAAAAATATTGAATATTTCTCAGTTTTTAAACAAATTTTGTTATGTGACAAAGATACAAGTACAAAAAAAGAAATCAGGAAAAAAGTTGAAAAGAATTTTTGATTGAAATAAACAGATATTAAAACTGCGTTTTTTCTCTTTAAAGTTTTATATTCAGTCAATTCAATCAAATAATCTCTTCACATGAAGCTGTTTGGCATGTCTAAAAAAAGAGAAAAACCTACCCGTGTAAGAAAAAATTATAATACAAATTATTCATCTATTTACCCCCCCCCCCCAAGAATATTTTTCCACAATTGCTGAACAAGAATGTATATTTTCTTTAAAATCACCCCCCCCTAAAAAAAATTCTTTTAGGCCCCATTTCTCATTTTTCCACAGTTAATAATAATTAATGTCCTTAATAGATAAGCCCTTGGGCCCTGATGCCAAATCTAAGAAAAGAATTAAGATTCAGAAAAGAGACTATTAAAGGGTTATTTTGAACACTTAACAGCTTCATAAGAAAAAGAGAATGAATTGAAAATATTCCTTCTCACAAAAGAAATAGTAACTCTACAAATGGCACCACCCATAGTTGAGGACATAATTAAGTCCCATAAATTATACCCCCCCCCCCCCCCCATTTTATCGGACATTATAAAGGAACTTTTGTGGTTAAATATGACAAGAAATATTTTCACTTCATTTTCTGGTTGAGTATGTTCTAATTTTAAGAAAGTATTTCCTACCTTTATTTCCGTCAGCTGTTGATGAATTTTGATCTCCTATAGTTCCGTCATAGTTCCCTTCATATCCTCCCTCGTAGTCACCATAATCCTCCCCGTAATCAGCATCAACCAGTTCACCACCGCCATAGTGGTCAACGGGGGCCATCACATTGTTATCTGTACTCAGCTGAGGTTCAGTTTTAACAGGAGTCACTTCCTGGATATCATCGTCTTTATACACAGCAGGGAGAGGGGTTGAAGTGGTGGGATTAGGACGGATTTTCTTGGATGGCGGAGGTATTGACGATTCGGGGGGTTCTCTTGACTTAGATTTAACTGCCGGGGCGGATGTGTTATTTGAACTATCACTTTGAGTTAAACCTTTGACCTTGAGATCCTCCGCCACGGCGAGAAAAGTGTTTAAATCCTCCTGCGCCACATTCACCTCGCCGTGGTACATAAAGTTCAAAACGGAAACAAGATCACTGTATTTCACACCTTTCAGATAGAGAAGCGGATGTTCGTGTTTGTTCCGCTTGAGGATAGCTCTGAAGAACGGACTGCAGGCGGAGAGAATAACTTTATGTGCTGGGATCTGATCATCTTCACACGCTAAGGTTATGTCGAAAAAGTCTTTATCTTCTCTAATCTCTCGGAATGCTTTACTAATGTTGGACTCAAAATCGTTCCAACGGAGACAAAACTTCTCCGACGAACCCATTCTGGGCACTTACTGTGTTGAGAGTTCAAGATAGAAGCTGAAAAAGAAAATAATATTGGTAGCCTAAACTAAAATAAGATTAATTTCGAACTTCTTAGATTAACAAACCACGAAACCTGCTATCCAATATGTGAAAACTATAGTTCAAAATTATAAAGATTCGAGAATTAATTCGAATTTGCCGCAGCGCTCGGCCCACTAGCCTGTCCTAGCCGCAGCGCTCGGCCCAGAAAGTGTCTCAACCTAACCTAACCCTAAATAATAAAAAGTAAATAATAATAAATTTGCTGGTTATTCTGATCATTGTAATACTTTGCTGCTAGAAACATATTCAAATTACTAAAGATTGAGAATTTTTTATAGAATATTTGCGGATTATTCTTCTAAAGTTTATGAATTTTATCAAATTTCATTCAAAGAAAAATTTCATGGGTCTGTCCTAGTATACGATTTTTGGACCCCCCCCCCCTCCTATCAATTTTGTACATGACCATGACTATGACACTTTCTGGGCCGAGCGCTGCGGCCACGGGTTAGGTTATTATTATTTATTTTTTTGTTATTTAGGGTTAGGTTAGGTTAAGGAAAGGCCGAGCGCTGCGGCCACACTTTCTGGGCCGAGCGCTGCGGCTAGGATGGGCTAGGGGGCCGAGCGCTGCGGCCACGGGTTAGGTTATTATTATTTATTTTTTTGTTATTTAGGGTTAGGTTAGGTTAAGGAAAGGCCGAGCGCTGCGGCCACACTTTCTGGGCCGAGCGCTGCGGCTAGGATGGGCTAGGGGGCCGAGCGCTGCGGCCACGGGTTAGGTTAAGTTAACTGTCAGACCCATGTACAAAATTGATAGGAGGGAAGGGGGGCTGGGGGGGGGTCCAAAAATCGTATACTAGGAAATTACCAATTTCATAATTTCAGGAGTTTGTCTCGTCAGGAGTCTGTCTTTCAGGAGTTTGTCTTTCCGGAGTTTGTCTTTCCGGAGTTTGTCTTTCAGGAGTTTGTCACGGCACCCTCCTCCCTCCTATAATTTTGTACATGACTTAGATTTCAACTATTTTCAACAAAACAATATTTATTTTGTATTATTCCAGGGTTAGATTAGATTCGGATAATTTCGGTGCCGAGCGCTGCGGCCAGGACAGACCTTTAGTTTCAACACTGTTATTAAATATTAGGAGTCAGGTTAAGACATTTTATAGGCTAAGCACTGCGGCTATGACAGGCTAGGGGGCCGAGCCCTGCGACTAGAGCAGGCATAGGGGCCGAGCGCTGCGGCTAGAACAGGCTAAGGGGGCCGGATGCTACGGCCACATGACCCACTTTATCCATATATTTTTCTCTAATGAAGAATTGGGTCTGTCCTATCCAAAAATCGTATACTAGGAAATTACCAAGAATTAAAACAAATTCTTTGATCCCAAAATTCAAGCTAAAATCTAAGAAAATCTCAGGAAGTTTAGTTTAACAACAGAAATATTATTATTACCTTCACATGGCAAGCAACAGAAAATTTACATCTGTAGAAGTGTGTCTCTTTTCTTCGGAAATGACTAGGGTCTCCCTAGATAGTTTGGAATTATTCCGATTTCACTGGAAGAAGTTTACGCAGTTATAACGTATTTTTTTGTTATCAATATATAAAACCAACATGGCGGTCGCTTGCCGGTTTGTTAAGGCTCCTGAAATACCGAACTCTGATTGGTTAAAAATATAATTTACTGAATTCTGATTGGTTCAATCAACTTTTTGCAGCCAATCACAATTTAGTATTTGGACGCAACAAAACAGACCATTTTTAATATTTTGTTAATTTTACAATTTTGAATTTAGCTTAAATTATAAGCTTTGGCTTCATTTCCATGAAAAAAAATATTTATGAAATATATATGAGAACAAAGTTGTTGGGTTGACACCTTGATTTTTTCATTTTTTTATGTCCTACTCGCTTAAGGCAACTCAACTTTCCAAACCAAATAATTCCACTTTCATTAAAAGAATTCCCGCCAAAACCTGATACTGAGTGTTTTGTTTTCTGTTGTTACATCAATTCAAGCCAATCCAATTCCACAAAAGAAGTGAATGGTTTGCTTTGCAGAGCGCCGCATGATTTACATCATAAGCATTTTTTTCGATTCGTGCTTAAATGTTCTCAATGTTTTATTTCAGTGGATATAATGGCCAAGAAAACTGACTACAATGCCATTAAGGCTAAACTGAAGGAGTTTCTGACTAGTTTCACAAGGACGGACGAGAACGGCCGGAAACAGTTTCCTTACGCCGAACAGATAACTAACATCGCACACAGGTTGAAAAATAATTGAGATTTATTAACCCCCTTGTAATATCTTTGTTAACGATATTTGGACCTCATATGCAACACATGGATATAAATTGGTCATGTGGCCGCAGCCCCCGGCCCCTAGCCTGTCCTAGCCGTGGCGCCCGGCCCCCTAGCCTGTCCTAGCCGCACGGTAGCGCTCGGCCTCCTTGCCTGTGCAAGCCGCAGCGCTCGGTCCAGAAATTGTCTAAACCTAACCTAACGCTAAAATATTTAGAAGTAAATAATAAATTTGCTGAAAATTAGTGGTCATGTAATAAATTGATGTGTCCAAAAATTGTTTGCTTGGACGGACACCCCCCTTCTCTTGTAATAATTTTCAGATTCTAAAATTGTAACATATGCTTAAGGCCTGTTCTAGCCGTGGCACTCGCCCCGTAGCCAATCGTAGCCGCAGCGCTAGACCTAAAAGTTGTTAATTTTCTAGTGAACGATTTGCCTTTACCCTTGGATTAGTAAATTCTGCCTCTAATTGTTTCGACCTATTCTTTAAGTGCCATGTTTAAATTCCAATACATAAATTTAGAGAGCAGAACAGTCTTGTGCTTGACCTAGACGATGTTGCAGAGTTTGACCAAGATCTAGCCGAAGCAGTTCGTGGAAACACCCGTAGATATGTTTCGGTAGGAATAGCTGGTTTAAAATTATTTCTTAATAAGTTAATATCAAAAAATTGCAGAGGATCGTTTGAACAGAGTTGCATTTTTTATTATTTAATGAAAAAACATACAGGCGTCAAAGAAGCAGCTTGTTGCAGCCCCCCCCCCCCCCGTGAGTTTATAGTTAAAATGGTCCCATAGTTCTCCGGTGTATATTCCAATTGATGGTTTTCTATTTAGCTGGTTGAAGACGTGATAGACACCCTGATCCCTGAATACAAGGAGAGAGAACCAGCTGCCAAGGATGTTCTTGATGTTTACATTAATCATCGGTAGGCTCTCCATCGGCATAGTCGTGGGGTGTAAAATGTTGTCTCCTAGCATTACGCATCTCAAAATAATTATTATGTCAAATTTTTGTTGTTTTACATAAAGAAAACTCGAAGTGGGTTACGCATAAACCTGCTAATTTAAGTTACGATTTTGAAACTGATTATTTTTGACTTTTTCATAAAAATGATTCGCGCAATTCTGCTGCAGGACAGCCATGTAAGAAGTGTCATACTTAAACAGTTTTACAAACAGGGATATATTTTATCATCCAAATTGTTGATCATATAAAGGTTTTGAATCGGACAGTAAGGTGGTCTATATTACATTTATTTGAAATCTTAATATTGTGAGTTGGTAATAGACGGGTATTGTCAATCCGTACAACTTTTAGAAAAACGTTTTCTGTAATATTAAAATTGTCATGCGAAAATGACTTTGTCTTGTCTTTAAGGCGGGAAAAATAAATAAATGTCACTTATAAAATAAATTTGTTTTACAAAATATGCCGAAAGGGGTATCTAAAGATGCGTGAGAATCCGCTGATTACTGCCCATTTTATTTTCGTATCGATATCTTAAATTGTTTAATCAAGGGCCGAAAAAAACTGTTGTTTTTTTTGGCTTAATTTTTGTCTCAATATCAGTTTTTGGGCAACACTATGCTTATTTTTTTAACGGATTTTGATTATTTTAAGGTTTCTGAATTCAGTGTTTCAACACGGATCTTTTGATGTATTTTGAAGATTTTTTTCCCGCTTGCGTTTGTGAATTTTTCGACTTTAACCGTTTTCCGCAAGGCAATTTTTATTTAAAAAAAAACCCCGTTCCTAAATGTTGCTTTTAAATCTAAATCTCTTCCAATTCCGAAAGACACGGTGCAATTGGTAAAATCGACCCCATTGGACACGCTTTTCTTTACATGGAGGGTCACTTGAGAGTACGCCGACAGTCCCTTAGAGTTAGTATAGACAAAACTTTGAAAATATTGGTCTAAATTTTAAAATTGATATTTCTACCCTAATCAAAATTCATTCAGAGCATTAAAATAGTTACATTGTTCTTCTTGTAAATGTTTAATTCCAGATAATCTTTCTTTGATATCTGTTTCTTTCTTGGTTACAAATATTGAAATAAATCTAAATAAAGTTGTAAAATTGTAAATGTCAAGGAAACTAATGACCGCGAACATTCGTGGTGAGGAACCAGCACACACTCGAGGAGGAAACAACGATATCCCTCCCTCACTACTCAGGAGGTTCGAGGTCCTCATCAAACCCCAATCCTCGGACAAGGTTGTCCACATCAGGGATATCAAGGCCGAGTATATCGGGAAACTTGTCACACTCAAGGTAGAAATGCTTACATAAACATTACTTGCTGAAGTGCCCGGCGTTGCCTGTGGAATTCATAACCCCTGGACCCATTTCCTCAAATTTTTTATTGCGGAAATCGATTGAGCCACGGGAAAGTTCTTGTCTTGGTTTTAAGATTCTATGTTGAGTGGGTCGACTTCTATACCCTGGGCAACGCTGGGTTCCCAAACTAGTTTAAATATAAAGTTGTTATCTCTGTTTGTCTGTCTGTTTCCTTGTCCGATCATAACTCAAGAACACCTGGACCGATTTGTCTAAAATTTGATCGGGGAACTTGGGAGACCCACGGTAATTGTCTTAGTTTGGTTTGAGATTCTGAGTTGAGTGGGTCGACTTTTTAGCGAAAATTTAGTTTCCCGGTAAAATCGACCAAGTGTGGGTAAACGATGGGATTAACTATCAGAGCACCGCAGGGTTCCCAAGCTAGTATTATATAATTGGGCGAAGAGCTATATTACATATGGTTTTGATATTCGTAATCTTTAGAAGTCAGAAGAGTAGTTTTTGTATATATTTATTATTAACACCACACTTCAAACTCTGATTTTCTACTCCACATATCAGTGTAATTTCAATTTCGTAGGCCTTAGATATTTCAAAATTTTAAATTGAATAATAGTAATTTTGAAATGGCATTTGTCTACACCATCAGGTTAAAAAGGTATAGGGATTAAAAAATATGAGTTTGTGGCAAGGACTCCAATTCAATTCTTTTCTAAAATTGCTTAAATTTGTCAAAGTTTACACCATCAGATTGAAAAGAAAAAGGGATTAATAAGTTTGGGTTCGAGGCAAGGACTCAATCTTACATAACGTTTTTTACAATTCAGGGAATCGTGACGAGATGTACCGAGGTCAAACCTATGATGCAGGTTGCTACCTATACTTGTGACAAGTGTGGAGTAGAAACGTATCAAACCATCAACGGAACCTCCTTCATGCCCCTGCTCAGCTGCCCGGGAGAGGACTGCAGGGTCAACAGGTCGGGCGGCAGACTGACCCTCATGTGTCGCGGAAGCAAGTTTACCAAGTTCCAGGTAAGAATTATTTTAATTCTTGTAATTCTTGAAATAATGGGCAAGTTTTTACTTCTTGTAATTGTTAACTCCTTGCTATTGTTTACTCCTTGCAATTGCTTACGCCTTCTAATTGTTTTCTCCTATTACTAATCCCTTGTAATTGTCTACTCCTTGCAATTATTTACTTCTGCTATCTGTCCGCTTCTGTTAATTGTTAACTCCTAGTATTTAATTCCTTGTTAATGTTAAGGAGCTGAAGATTCAGGAGCATAGTGACGTAGTTCCAACTGGACATATTCCTCGCAGTGTTACTATTTTCTGCAGGGGCGAGGTCACTAGGTAATAATAATATCATAAAAAGGGCCAATAGAAACGGAAATGTATCTTAAACCCTTTTTTAAATCGTGATTCTTTTGATTATTTTAACTTAAATTGCCACAAAACAATTTGTGAATTAAATTGAATATTTATCAGTAATAATATTTTAATTCAGAGCCTGTGTCCCTGGAGATCACGTGACAGTATCTGGTATCTATCTACCCTTGAAGAAGGAAGGATTCCAGGCAATGATGGGAGGACTCGTCTCAGAAACCTTCATCGACGCTCACAAGATCGTCAAGATCAACAAGACGGACGACGATGCTGTGGATGAGGAGGAGTTGAGCCAGGAGGAGCTCAAGTCCTTGGCTGGAGAGGATTTCTATGAGAAGCTGGCTGCTTCAATTGCTCCAGAGATCTACGGGCACGAGGACGTCAAGAAAGCCTTGTTGCTCCTCTTGGTCGGGGGAGTTGATAAGTAAGTTTACTTTTCCAACCCATGCATAGATATCTAATGCAACGCCGTAGAATTCATTTATTTTAATTTAGAGAAGAGATGAAATTTGGAGGAATCTACGTTTTTATGTTCTCAAACTATTTAAATTTTTATTTTAGAAACCCTGCTGGAATGAAGATTCGTGGAAATATCAACGTCCTACTGATGGGAGACCCTGGAGTAGCTAAGTCCCAATTGCTTGGTTATATAGATCGTCTAGCTCCAAGGTCCCAGTATACCACAGGCAGAGGTAGCTCGGGAGTCGGTCTAACCGCTGCTGTTGTCAAGGTATTGTATTATACATATATATATATATATATATATATATAAAAGTAAAACGTTGAAAATAACTTTTCTTTTATTCTTGACTTAATCGTTTAGGATCCTTTAACTGGTGAGATGACTCTTGAAGGAGGAGCACTGGTTCTTGCTGATCAGGTTGGTTTAAACACAACTTTTAATCCTAATCTGTAGTTGATGTTGTTGTAGCCACTGAACTAATCTGTAGTTGATGTTGTAGCCACTGAACACGCAAATAATTAAGTTTTTTGGGATGAGGTTCGCGTACCAGTCTCTTGGACCCATGCTTCATCGAACCTTCTCAATTATTAATAATGACATCATCCTGGCAGGTTTGAGAATTAGCAGGTTTGCATGTTTGTCATTCAACATAATGACCTCCGACAACGTCTTTTTACCATCATCTGTCGGAATGCTGGGAGCAAGCAAGATGTTTATTGCTCGAACTAGTAACTAGTGACACTACTCACTATGGCCCGGATCTCCTCGACTAATATGTTGTCAGGATAGGAGCCAGAAGCGAATATTGTAAAACTGGAGCTGAGATGATATAAATGATTGAACAGTTGGTTATGGGTGTTTGGATAGTCCACGTTCTTATTAGTTGACTAGACCAGACACTCATAATTAATTGTTTTTTAAAATCAACATACCAGAAGCACATACCACTACCAGACCAGTCGGATCTACACAGACCAGAAACCAAAGCCAAATCTTTCAGAACTCGATGGAACCAGAGTTTTTAATTATCCTAAAATATAATACTGTTGGGAAAAAAATCTTAACTTGAGATTTTACCTTTAATAGCAAGCTTTTCTGTTGCAATTTATTATTCCTTCAAAGCGAAACCTTAACCAAAAAAAACTAATTTTTTCTCAGGATTCATTACTAAAAATAACATTGTGTAAAATACAGAACCGCAGAGGCAGAAAATCAGCATGGAAGATTTTCTATCAAAAATGTTAATGTTACTCCAATAATCGCGGGATGCTTAACCCTATCTGGCCGGGGGGGGGAGGGGGGTAAATTGACCCACCCACCCCGATCGTTTTTTTGTGATCTCTCAAAAAGTGCTTGAGTTAGGAAGCTTAAATTTTCTGGCTTTTATAACAACACATGCCCCTGACTTGAGGCTTAAAGCTTGGCTTTTATACCTACTGCCTGAGTCCTCAGATATACTGCCTCTATGCTTTATTCTACTTAAATCAGACTAAATTAATATTCATATCTACTTTCAGTCATTGGATTTCAGCATTTTAAAGAACTTTGGAAAGCCTATAAAAAAAGCGCTCAACTAGATTTCGCAATACAATTTTGGATTTTTAAATATTTGCAATTATTTGCAGATTATTAAAGTAGCTCAAGGGATTTCCGTAAACGTTACAAATGTTAAAGATTTGTATCACTTAAAGAAAATATAGGGAGGAGGTTAATTTGCCTCCCCCCCCCCCCTCCCAGGTAGCCAGTCTGTAAACCAGATTTCAGGCTAAATAGGGTTAATATTTTTAATATATACTTAACTCTTATCAACGATTCTACCAGGTAAGCAGACCCAGAAATTGATGAAGAACCTAGAACTAGGACTTTAAAGAGTAATTTGCAGACTGAAAACTATCCAGTCGACTGCAGACTGAAAACTATCCAGTCGACTGCAGAGTGCAAGTTTAGTGCAGAGTTCTTTATCATCTGACTAGATTTTACACTCTGCAGTCCGCTAGATTTATCATCAACAAGCAGATGTAAATTTTGAAATTCTTATTTTGTTTTTGATGAATTATTTTTCCAGAAAACAAGTGAATACGAACTTGAAATATCCAGTCAACGCAATTCTAAATATATAATTACTATAACTAGCTTGGAAACCTGGCGCTGCCAAGGTGTCTTAAAGTTACTTCCGCCGTTTACCCGCACTTAGACAATTTTACCGGGAAACTAAACTTTTGCTATTTAAGTCGACCCATCCAACTTAAAATCTGAACACCAAGCTAAAAACATTCCGCATGACTCCCGATTTCTCCAATCAAAATTTGAGACAAATCGGCCCACGAGTTCCTGAGTTATGATCGGACAAACATACAGACAGAGATTACAACCTTATAGATGCCATTAACCGTGAAAGTGCCCACAAAACAGTCGTGAGTTTCTTAGATTCTTCAATTTATTATTAATAATTATTTATTCTATTTATTTTGTGTATGAAGGGCAAAAATTTACATAGTCGAAAGTCGAGAGGTTTTGCGGTATTTCTAACAAAGTAAATATGTTTATGGTATTAACTGTATTCGAGAGGTATTGCAGTTTTTTGTAAAAAGTGAATTTGTCTAGGGTATTTGCTGTATTCGAGAGGTATTGCAATTTTTGTAAAACGTGTATTTGTCTAGGGTATTTGCTGTAATCGAGAGGTATTGCAATTTTTGTAAAAAGTGAATATGTTTAGGGTATCTGCTGTATTGACGAGTTCGATAAAATGGACGAAGGTGACAGAACTGCTATTCACGAGGTAATAACAAGTCAAGTTGGCTCAAATATTAGAAGTTGTAAAACCTTTAATTGGCAATAAAATGTTATAATTCCTATTCTACATTCATCATATTCATCATATATGAAATCTTAAATTGATATCTCTTCATGGTTCACCCAATTAGTTGATGCATTTAGTACAAAGAATAATTTAACAACAAGACTTTCCGTAGGTAATGGAACAGCAGACTATTTCTATCGCAAAGGCCGGTATCTTGACAAGCCTGAACGCCAGGGTATCCATCCTAGCCGCAGCTAATCCTGCTTATGGACGGTATAACAGTAAGAGAAGTATCTCCGACAATATTAATCTCCCAGCTGCTCTTCTTTCAAGATTTGATCTTCTCTGGCTCATAGCTGACAAGTAAGCAACTTTTAAACAGGGCGCACCAAACTAATATTAATGTAGATTTTAGGGTTTCATTTATCAGATAAAAAACTAATTTGAAAGGAATTCTGACTCGGTAAGGTGTTAATTTTGTGAATTTCTCCATTGCTCCATATAAGCAAGAAATGCTCAAATCACTGTTAAGGGTACCGTTGTAAATCTGGCATTGCCATCTTTGCATGGAGGGTCACTTGAAATCACGCTTACTGATGTCCCTTTAAGAATAATTTAAACGGAAAAGAATATTGATGAGCTAGATGGATTTGCCTCATTGTTTACAGGACTTGCGTACAGGCGCGCAACTAGTCATTTTGTGGGGGGGGGGTCTAAGAGGGAAATTTTCTTCCCCCCCCTAAACATTTCTTGGGGGGGCAAGAAAAATCTGTATTACACTCAAACAATAAAAAAAAAACTTACCCACCGGATATGCAGTAAGTCAGACGTGTTATCTGATATGAAATAAAAAAAATCTATTCTGGTTATTGCTTAATTTAAATCACAATAATAATTAATTTACAATTTTCATATATATATTCATTATTCATCCATAAATCAAATATGTACATTGTACTCAAACCATGACAAGAAAGGCCTTACATTACAAAATCATGATTTTACATGACATTTTTTTATATTACACATCACACAATATTTGCGGTGAACATTTAGGATTAATTTAATAGTTGTACTACAGTATATCGATTGAACAATAAGCTTAATAAACTAACGTTCAATTATTATTTTGCGATCAGAGCTCTTAAATTTGCTTAGGGTCAGGATTCATGAATCGCTAAATTGCAAAACAGGGTGGACTTCTTGGCTCTTCCCCCCCCCCCCCCCCCCTACAGGCTTGCTTACGTATTGAAATTAAATTAACCCTAAGCACTGGTTTCCTTAAAATTCAGTGTATTCTGTACATGGGGTGCTTTTAAGATATCTGATTCAATATTCGTTTTGGATCAACTTTGCCTAGTCTAATCGCGAGGTGTCTTAACTTAATTGTCAAAAACCTGGGGTTTCCACAAAAAATACTTCCTTTTCGTTTTCTGAACAATATACTCCACTTATTCTTGGACAAAATTAATCTTTTCCGTGACAATATGCTAAACATATGGCTTCACAAAATAAACTTGCGTTCTCACGATCTTGAATAAATCTTCAAATTGTAAATTTTGCTAGATCTGATCGAGAGAATGATCTTCGTCTGGCGAAGCACATCACCTACGTTCACCAACACAACACCAATCCTCCCCAGCAGTATGCGCCCCTGGATATGAAGATTATGCGCAGATATATCGCGCTCTGTAAGAAGCAGACGCCCGTCATCCCTGCCGCGCTCTCAGATTTTATTGTCGGCGCGTACTGTCAGATGCGTCAAGAAGCAAGGTAAGGAGATTGAGGCATATTCATACTTTCAATATTAATTCCGTAAATGTATTTGTTCAATATTGAATATGGAATTAAGATAAGGAATTCATTTAAATCAGTATTTGCACTAGGCTTATTATTTCATATTTATCACTACGTAAAATTTATACTTCATTTAAATTAATATGGCAAATTAGAATTAGGCCTCTCAAATTCAGGACAGGAATTAGTGGGTTTAAAAAATCTATAAAATTCATATAAAATATTGTTAGTAAAAAAAAGAAATTTTACACCTGATGCAATTTTTTTATAAAGTCTCAAATTTTTTGACCAATTTTTTAGGCAAGACAAGGCGGAGAATAACTCTCGTAACAGTACCTTCACCTCCGCCCGTACTCTTCTCGCAATCCTACGCCTTGCCACCGCCCTCGCCAGGCTTAGGATCGTCAACACCGTGGAAAAGGACGACGTTAAGGAGGCGATGAGACTGATGGAGATGTGCAAGGACAGCTTGAAGGACAAGGGAACTGGTAGGACGGTGACCAAGATAGTGGACCAGGTTTACAACACAATCAGAAATATGAGGGATGGACAGACCACTCTCAAGGTTCAGGATGTCAGAGACAGGTATTTTCGAATATTCGAATTTTTTTTTCTTAGTAATGTTTAAACAGAAGTTGCTAGGATAGCCCCCCCCCCAAAAAAAAAAAATAGATAATTTTTTTAAAGCTTGGAAAATTCCATAACTGAATATTTCTCCAGGTGTACTGCGAAGGGGTTCAAGCAGGCTGACGTAGACAAGTGTTTGGAGGATTACGAGGAGCTTGATATCTGGCAGCTCAACCAGGCCAGAACCAAGCTCACCTTTGTTCAATAAATCTTCAAAACCAAGTTCTTAAACCTTCGACTTTCACTCCGAGTACAGAAATCTGCCAAACTTTTATCAGATCAGAAAATAGTACAAATTATTTTAAACATGTTTGTACTTCTGCATTTTACTAATATACATATATCTGGAAAGTATTATGTTCAGAATATTTAATATATTTTTCAACAAAAATACATTCTTATCACTTAAATTGGGCGCAAATTAGTTGTTCTACAAAAATAAAATTGTGATTAAATGGAAGTTATTACTGTCCCCGCCCCCACTCCAAAAAAAAATTTCTACCCAACTGAATTTTTTATTTTTTATGCTTTAAAGAACAAATCGATTTTCAACTCCATAACTTTTAAAACTTGTTTAGATTATATTTTAGAACCATAGATAAAGATAGACAGCCAACTCAGCTCACGACACCTTGATCCTAAGAGGAACTGGGGATCACACAGTACAAATATTTTCAAACGATTTGCAAAAGTTTGTTTAAACTTCGGTTTTGGCAAATATTTAGTAGGCATTTTGCCGGCGTACACGTCAATACTTAATGATCTCAGAGATAGATATTATTTAAACAAAATAGAAGAAAGTAAACACAGAAAGCACTGGAGAAAAAAACATTTTTTTGAGAAAACGTACACAAGCAACCTTAGTTATTCTAAAATTGTACATTTTTTCCCCAGCTTGCAGGACTTGCAGTACTCACTTCACTGAACCTAGAACCAATATATACTCGGTGTTTTGAACTTACATACTAGCGGTCTCAATGGTTTAGAACATACATACTAACGGTCTCAATGGTTTAGAACATACATACATACTAGTGGTCTCAATGGTTTAGAATCTACATACTAACGGTCTCTATGGTTCAGAACATACATACTAACGGTCTCAAATCTGAGATATAAAATATCGCTACTATACAATGCTTTATTCATGATCGTATAATAATATCTAGAACATAAATCACATAATCTGGAATATCTACTGAACAGGGAAGAATAGAAAGAGTTATAAAGAATGTACTGGCAAGACTTAATTATAGAGTTGAGTATCGTTATGATACGTTTCTAGGTTTTAGAGAATTCTCACAAAATTTAAAAAGTTCGATAGATTTTTTAATTGTTTTCTCCATAACTTAAAATACACTGAGCAATATCTTGATTGTTAGCGGAAAATTCGAGTTGCAACGAAAGGGAATTGAAAATAAAATTTTCGTAGATTTTTGTGAACAGCGCCAAAACCCAAGATCAACTTGAAACGTAAGAAAACGATGCACAACTCTTTCTCATAACAAGATTACAAGCGAGCGAGCGTCTTGACATTGCTTTCGACCGGTTCTTTACACTGTAATTTAAATGATCAGAATAATATTTAATTTGCCGAGGGTTGCAATAAAACACGTGACTTATGAAGGACTAGGAAATTATTAAGTCCTGGTTTAAGAGTAAACAAGCTGCCAAAAACATTTTTTAAAAGATTTTACTGAAACATTTCTTGTACAATTACGGCTAGACGAGATAAAAATGTCGTAATTTTATTCGATCTGGACATTGTACATAATAATTTGTTAAGAGGTTCCTTTAAAGGAATTGGGTCGTCGCCACAAACTCCGATTTTATAATCCCTTTTTGTTTACATATTGGTATCTTTGACATTTTTGATACTTCAAACTCAGACTCTAACAGAATTCATAGTTAAAAATATCAAAGGTTTTCAACATCGGGTTGCAAAGATATAATGATTGAAAAATTTTAATTAATAGATAAAACTCATTTCCTTGATGATTCTTTTTGGACATAACCGATTTTTTTATTTCTCTCTAGAATAACCATGGGAATTATAATGTACAATTTTTATAGACCAAGATACAATTACATCATTTATTGTCCTATCTGGATAATAAGTGATTTCAAAAATGTTAAGAAAAGAACCGGTCTGCATCCTCGTAATAAATAATACCTACATAACAAGAATAATGGAGTAATAATCATCTAGTCTAAAATTTGGAATCATTTCTTGAAGTCCTGAGATTGTATACAATGATTAAATATGAGCTCTGTAAGGAATAACATTGAATGTAGGTCATTGGTGATGTATTATGAATGTAACAGAAAATGCGTTGGTAATATGTACGAATGTATAAAGAATACCACCGATGAATTAAAACTGAGTTTATATTTCATGCGAAGAAGAAACTAGTCGTACAGAGAAGAACACTTGTCTCAAGGAACTGAGTTGGGTCAAAGGTAAAACTAGTTTCTCCGCGGTTAAAATCTTAACTCATGATTAATATAATCGAAGTAGTTTAAGCAGGAACATTACTGTGTGAACGACAGGGAATGGATTTGACTGTTTCCCTATTTTAGGATTAACAAAATGCCTTCAAAATGAGGATTGCGTCTAGAACACTTTAGAACCCGTTTTTATCCGAAATTTCCATTTTGCCGAGCAAAGTCTCTGGTCTAGGTTGGTTCCCCTGCATCCTATCCAGGATAGAGTTTACGTACGCCGCCGTGTCCACCTGCTCTGATTCACTCCGTCGTATAAACGGCTGCTCCAGGAGCTTTGTGTACTTCGGCCGAACAGTCTCATCCTTCATGAGACAAAGATTAACGAAATTAATGAATTCGATTGTGAACATATTCCCGTTAGAATGCTGTCCGAGCTGGGGAGGGTCTCCATGAACAACCTGCGTTAGCTGCTCAAATACAGAGTTCCACTTAGGGTAGGGGAATCTTCCGGTAGCAAGCTCGATCAGTGTTATCCCAAGGGACCAAACGTCGGAGCGGACATCGTAACCTCGAGCTCGTGTAGGATCAATTCGCTCAGGAGCCATGTAGGGCCGACAACCGGCATCACGAGTCTTTGCAATACTATCCACCAACTGACCGGATATTCCGAAATCGCAGAGTTTGATTGCTCCGGTTTTATCCAGGAGAATATTGCTTGGTTTCACGTCCCGATGAATAATCTTGAGTTCCTCCTTCAGATAGTTCAACGCTTTTACCGTGGCGAGGGTCACCTTCCCGATAAAGGTCTCGGGAATAGATTCTGACAATTCTTCATAAATAAACTTATAGAACTTGTCCAGGGAGCACTCCATCAACTGCATACAGATCCAACAATCTCCTTCCTACAACATATTCTATACTTCCTTTTCCAACTTTTCCGTCAAAGGATGCCGGATCAAACTTTTCTGAGTAAATCAATTTCAAGCTTCAAACTCAGAATACATCTAAGATATGCATTTTCATTTATTCATTCATTTCCATTTCTAACTCTAGCATTCTCTCTTACATATACCCTCCCATGGTAATAAAATATTAAAGTAGTGTTTCAGCCCAAATGCATGATGCATATTTCAAGTTTAAGAACCAAAGATACTGAATTGATTAATTTATATAATAAAACTCACAGAATAGAGTAAAATGCTTTCTTTGACTTCTACGAACTGTTAATTTACAGTTTATGACGAATAAAGAATGTGCTACTTTGCAGAAATGTTTGATCGGCTCACATTTTTAATTTAATTTTAATAAACAGTTCTCAAACAAATCAAAATACAAAAAAATAAGCTGAATGTTTAAATTGTACGAATTAAGTTAGATTGCTGATATATTGATTTTAATAGTAATGTTTAATCTGTGCACAAAAAATAACTCAATTTATTTTAGATAATGTACATTTTACTTAATATAAATAATTATTTAATATTACCTTAAATATTGCTCCGTAGAAAAGAACTATGTAAGGACAGTCGTTAGAGTTCATAACAACTTCCAGATCCATTAAAAGCTGCTTCTGTTCCCGCTCATCAACCGTAGACCTACAGAAAAAAAGGTATCTTGAGTAAATTCATTAAGATATATAGTTTGTAATCCATAAATTTGATCTTCTAAATTGCCACATTATCTTGGCCACGAACTCAAGTTTTCTCATCCCTATTTCTTTGCAACCTGATGGTGTAATCCGTTGGTATTTAAAAAGATGATTTGATATAACAGAATTCATAGTTTGAAATATCTAAGGTCCACGACATTTGGTTGCAAAGAGAGGGAGAAACCATAATTGTAAAAAATAAAGTTTTGAAGAGAAAATTATGGATGCAACGTGAAACCTTGATCAGACAAAGTTTTTATGGGTAAAACTCCGAATAAAATAAAAAGAGAGTCGCTCGAAATTAGGTCTATAGTCCCTTTTAGGAGTCTTACCTAATTCTTTTAACGGCCATGACCCGACCGGCCTTCCTGAACAGCATCTTGTTGACCGCACCAAAGTTCCCACGCCCGATCTCTCCGCAATCCATGAGATCCTCGGCACAGAAGTTGTACTCCTCATTCTCAAACTTGAGCTTGCCGGTCGACTGAACCTTGCTGTAGATAAGAAACTTCTCCGGTTGTGCCTCGTACCCTTTAGCTGGGAATTTGAGGTTAAGCTGTCCAGCCTTTCTGAGGTTAGGTTGAGAGAAACTTATTTTTAAACCCTAAAAACATCATCCTCGTCTTTTTAGTGAAAAATGTTAAGGAGGTTAATTAGTTAAGTTTAATATTCTAAAAAATTGGCTCCGGAAACCAAGATGAGTCTAGAACTTTTGGTTTCCATGCAAGTATTAAGTTTCATAAAGTGAAGGTTTTATTCAATTCTACTAAAAAACACTTTTTTAAACTAATTTTAATACTGCCCAAATAAATTGAGAGGCAGCGCCATGCTGGGTTAGCAAGCAACTAAAGGGGGGTAGGAGACTGTAGAAAAATCGTGTGCAATTAAAGTTTTCAAAGTCAGTGCTTTGAAAGAAAAATATAATTTCAGACCTTGAAAAGAGAAAGAATGAGAATATTGTTGTATATTGATTAGTTGATTGACGAGATCTTTTTCCTGTCGCTTGTTGTTCTGAACTGGAGAGGTTAAAGGATCAGGGATCAGTCCTCCACCAGGAGAAGGAAGCTGCATATGTCTAGGTCTATACAATAAACAGCTTTATTAAAGGAGAAGGAAGCTGCAAATGTCTGGGTCTATACAATAAACAGCTTTATTAAAGGAGAAGGAAGCTGCAAATGTCTAGGTCTATACAATAAACAGCTTTATCAAAGGAGAAGGAAGCTGCATATGTCTGGGTCTATACAATAAACAGCTTTGTTAAAGGAGAAGGAAGCTGCAAATGTCTGGGCCTATACAATAAACAGCTTTTTTAAAGGAGAAGGTAGCTGCATATGTCTGGGCCTATACAATAAACAGATTTTTTAAAGGAGAAGGAAGCTGCATATGTCTGGGTCTATATAATAAACAGCTTTATTAGAGGAAAAGGAAACTGCATATGTATAGGTCTATATAATAAAGGAGAAGGAAGCTGCATATGTCTGGGTCTATACAATTAACAGCTTTATTAAAGGAGAAGAAAACTGCATATGTCTAGGTCTATACAATAAACAGCTTTATTAAAGGAGAAGGAAGCTGCATATGTCTAGGTCTATACAATAAACAGCTTTATTAAAGGAGAAGAAAACTGCATATGTCTACGTCTATACAATAAACAGCTTTATTAAAGGAAAAGGAAACTGCACATGTCTGGGTCTATACAATAAACAGCTTTATAAAAGGAGAAGGAAGCTGCATATGTCTGGGTCTATACAATAAACAGCTTTATTAAAGGAGAAGGAAGCTGCATATGTCTTGCCCTTTACAATAAACAGCTTTATTAAAGGAAAAGGAAGCTGCACATGTCTGGGTCTATACAATAAACAGCTTTATAAAAGGAGAAGGAAGCTGCATATGTCTGGGTCTATACAATAAACAGTTTTATTAAAGGAGAAGGAAGCTGCATATGTATGGGTCTATACAATAAACAGCTTTGTTAAAGGAGAAGGAAGCTGCATATGTCTGGGTCTATACAATAAACAGCTTTATTAAAGAAGGAGGAAGCTGTATATGTCTGGGTTTAATTACGGAAGATTCCGGCGCATAAGGAAATATTAGACATAAAATATTTTTATTGAAAAGGTAAATATTGTTTAAGTTTAAGTGTTAAGTTTTTGTCTGTCTGTGAAATGTCCTATCTATGAAATGTCCAATCTGTGAAATGTCCAATCTATGAAATATCCTATCTGTGAAATGTCACATCTGTGAAATGTCACATCTGTGAAATGTCCCATCTATGAATTTTCCCATATATATAATGTCCCATCTTCTAAATGTCCTATATATGAAATATCCAATCTGTGAAATGTTCAATCTATGAAATGTCCCATCTGTGAAATGTCCCATCTGTGAAATGTCCATCTGTGAAATTTCCCATCTGTGAAATGTCCCATCTGTGAAATGTCCATCTGTGAAATGTCCATCTGTGAAATTTCCCATCTGTGAAATGTCCCATCTATGAAATGTCCTATATTTAAAATGTCCCATCTTTTAAATGTCCTATATATGAAATCTCTAATCTGTAAAATGTCCTATCTATGATTTTGCTTTCTATGAAATGTTTTCTTTGCCATGTCCATTGTCCATTATCCAAAGACCAAACATCGTTTGTTTCTGTGGACGGCTTAATATAAGAATTCCCTAAATCTCAACAAGACCTCTTTTTTAAAGATTGTTTATGTAATTAAAATGATAACTTCATAAACTCAATAAGTACAAAAACATATTTTGGACTCTGATCTTGTGAATTCACAATCTAGATCCGTGCTAGATTAGGGTGGGAGAAAAGATAATAATTAAATATTTTAATGCAGTTGTTAATTCAAACAATACTTCAGAAAAAAAAGATAAGTGATTTGCGGTAAACATATATTAACAAAGTTAAAATATTAAATTGCTTGGGACAGCGGTCTTAAGGTTTTTATGCCAAATAACGGTTAAGATAAGGTTTTAGTTTAACTTTACTTTGTCAGGGTTGGAGTTCAAAATATAGATCTTTAGAAATAATTCGACAAAGGAGATTTTAATCATCTTATCATGTTTACAGGTACATTTCAATACAATAGGTCATTCAACTTTAATATTGACATACTTCATATAAGATAAACGTATAATTACACATATATTATATAGGTAATTAAGGTCGCGAACAAAAATTTCATCAAAAACAAAGTGTTTTAAAAAATCCATAGGAATAATCGTGATAAAATACATTACAAGTAATATATGTGTACATTCTGAGGTATAAAAATTCGTACTGACTTATATATTTTAAAAAGATTAGAAAAGTGATCAACTTTAATAAAAATGCAAAAAAAACTTTTTTGATTGGGTAACTCTTCACTATATATACTAGATCTACTACATAGTTACCCATAAAGGATAAGACTTCAGATACGATTGTAAACTTTGTTACCCAATCATTGAATAAGCTATCAAACGATTGTATTCATTAAAATTTTAAAAAGTTTCAGGTCGTCTTATAGTCTCATTCTTTATGGGTAACCCTGAAACTGAACCCTCAAAATTCAATCTAGATCGAATAAAAAATTAATCTGTTAAAACATACTGTACAATAATTCGGAGCTAAAATGTATCGATTTAAAAGAGAAAAAGAAATTTAAAGGATTTCCATATTTCCGGCAATAAATCGATACTTTGTATTTTATCAAATTTAAACCTGGATGGGAAGCTTTCCATGGGGGAGGAGGGGGACAGAGAGTAGGACGAGGACGAGGTCGACATTGAGGTCTGGTTCGAGGTTCGGAGGAATTCCTGTCCACTCTCAGATCGTCCGGAGCCCGGCCGTGACGAACGATCAAAGTCCCCATTTCGTTTCATATTCCAAACGTCGGACATGATGGTCAAAATTTAGATTTTTCGGGCCGATTTTTTTTTACGAGGTTAAGGATTCATTTTCAACACGGTTAAGTATCACAGTTTATTGAAGAAACACAGAATCTGAGTTTCTCAGATATTTTGGTGAAACTAGACAGCTAGTCAGACTTTAGAGTACACTCGTCCTGTCTCCTCATTGGCTGGGATATTCTGAACCTGCTCCGGGATTGGAGAAAACCTTGCATTAGGAGCTAAACAAGAAACCTCGAACCTGTGTATATACAACACACTGCACTGTCAACACAAATTTCATTCAACAATTTATTTTAACTTCGCTTTCTATTTGCTTTTAAATTCCCTTTTCACGACAATAAGATAGTGAATACCTTCACGAAAAGTGTCTTCGAAGTCATATAAAGATGGCAATGTTAATTTGTTGCCTGATATTTTGGGTCTGTCCTAGTATACGATTTTTGGACCCCCCCTGAGCGCTGCGGCCACGGGTTAGGTTAGTTAAGACACTTTCTGGGCCGGCGCTGCGGCCACGGGTTAGGTTAAGGTAAGAAACTTCTTGTCAGACCCATGTACAAAATTGATAGGAGGGGGGGGGGTCCAAAAATCGTATACTAGGAATATACCGATATTTTTCTGGCATTTTCTGTTAATTTATTTTAATAACGATTAGAAATTTGTAAAAAAACTAAACATTATCAAAACCTATAAGTTATTAATATGTTTACGTGTTTTTTATGAGAATTTTTTTTTCTTAGACATCTCAGATTTGCTTATTTTTCAGGAGATATGCACCTATCTTTTGCTGGTTGCGGATTCATAGGATTGTACCATGTTGGTTCTGCATCCTGTATCAAAACATTTGCTCCGTTCTTGCTTCAGAACAAGATCGCCGGGGCCAGTGCCGGGGCGATGGCCGCCGCGGCGCTAATAGGGGAAGTGTCCATGGCCGATATGGCGAGGGAGGTGTTGAAGGTTGTTATTAGTGCTTCAGAGAAGATATTTGGACCTTTCAATCCTGTGTTCAGTCTTAACAACATGTTAAAGGTAATGGTTAACTTACTATCAGTATTATACCAACTTTATTGTTTTTTGTTAAATTATATCCAAAGCTCGGGATATTTGTGTAAATGTATTGTTAATCTTAAAAAACATCTTAAGAAATGCCTATCTAATAAAGTCTTGTAATTTCCAAGAGAGCGATTTTTGGACATTGATATCATCAACACATGGTCATGGCGCCGCAGCGCCCGGCCCCCTAGCCTGTCCTATCCGCGGCGCTCGGTCCCCTATTCTGTCTTAGCCGCAGCGCTAGGCCCCCCATCCTATTCTAGCCGCAGCGCTCGGCCCAGAAATTGTCTTAATCTAACCTAACCCTAAAATAATCAAAATTTTGCTGAAAAATAAGTGGTCATGTACAAAATTGATAGGGAGGGGAGGGGGGACAGAAATCGTTCTCTAGGACAGACCCCTCTTTAGCTAGAGAGCCATGCGGGAAAATCCCAAGCTTCTTGACTTAAATCGATTTGATTTGATAACTAAGGCAAAGGTAGTTAAGAAGTACAAAGAAGGTTCAATGAGCTCAATAATATTTACCCTGACTAAGAAGAGTGAAGTTATGTTGATAGGATTAAAAGAAGATTGATATAAAAATAAAAATTGTATTAAGAAATGACTACTGAAAACCTATAAAACTTGTTAGGTTACATTTATTTAATGATTAGGAGGGGTTAGAACGAGTTCTTCCAGAAGATATTCATATCAGAGCAAACAATAGACTACACATATCTTTAACCAGAGCTGCGGATAGGAAAAATTTGATCGTTAGGTAAGTTCCTAAAGGAATAACGAAACAAATATATTAAAGATATATTTCAATTTAAAGGAACTACTGTCTACGTAAATACTAAAGAAATGTTTAGATTTATAGGAACTGTTTTCGTAAATTTTTAAGAATTATTTTAATTTAAAGTAACTGTCCGCGTAAATATTAAAGAAATATTTAGATTTAAAGGAACTGTCGACTTAAATATATAAGAAATATTTCATTTTAAAGGAACTGTCGACGGAAATATTTAAGAAATATTTTAATTTAAATGAACTGTCGACTTAAATAAAGAAGTATTTTAATTTCAAGGAACTGTCGACGTAAACATTAAAGAAATATTTAAATTTAAAGGAACTGTCGACATAAATATTAAAGAAATATTTAAATTTAAAGGAACTGTCGACGTAAATATTAAAGAAATATTTAAATTTAAAGGAATTGTCGACGTAAATATTAAAGAAATATTTAAATTTAAAGGAACTGTCGACATTAATATTAAAGAAATATTTAAATTTAAAGGAACTGTCAACGTAAATATTAAAGAAATATTTAAATTTAAAGGAACTGTCGACTTAAATATTTAAGAAATAATTCAATGTCGACGTAAATATTCAGTTTCACTTTATTTAAAGAGGGACATGTCTGAGTCTTTAAGGTACACTTCCTGTAAGCAACAACACTGAATATTTGTTTTTCTATCTTCAAACGGATAATGTCCCCTGGTAATTTCTTTATAAAAGTGACTTCCCCGGATAATTGATTTGAAAGAGACAATGAAAAAAGAGCTAGACTTCAACCTTTTCCCGATAAAAAGCGACAATATCTTATCTTCCTTTGTATTGCTCAGAGAAAGGTTAAAAGGGTGAACCTGTCCTACAAACATTGAAAGGATGCCTCAATTATTATTACGTCAACGTTCTATTTAAATTTTTTTAGTGAGTTTGCGTCTCGAGAAGAATTAATCAGTGTTATCCTTGCATCTTCCTTTATTCCTCTTCTATCAGGATGGATTCCTCCAAGGTGGGATCTGAGATTTCCATCACTAAGTTCTTAAAATTGCACAAAAAAACATTAATTTTAAAGGGATTATCAATTTACAGAGTTACCCACAAATAATGAGACTTCAGAGACGATTATACGGAATCTAACCAGCCTCTTTCTTAAAAATATTTTAACTGATTACATTCTTTGCCAAATCATTTAAACCATTTAAAAGACCAAAGCCAACGATTAAGCTTCATAACTTCAGAATAAAGAAGTTTATTAAGTCTTAGACTTTGTTGGTAACCCTGTTGTTTAAATTATTTTTGAAGACTAATTTCTGATTCTTTCTTGTCAGGCACAATGGCGAGTTTGTAGTTGACGGTGGATATACAGATAATGCTCCAAGGTTTGACGGGAATACAATCACTATCTCCCCCTTCAGCGGAGAACATGATATCTGTCCTAGGGATGACTCAGAGATCGGAGCTCTTCTTAATCTCAGTCTTTCGACCGGTCCCACAACCTCCGTGGCCCTCTCCATGGAGAACATGCAGAGGTTCAGGATGGCAATGATCCCACCGAAACCCGAGGATCTCCTGGCAGTGTGCAGGCAGGGGTTCGATGATACTTTTGAGTATCTCCGCTCTCGAAATATCATCCAGTGTGAGTCTTGCCGAGAGGAGAAGCTTAAACTGAACCTGGAGAAAATGCAAGATTGGAAGCGTAAACCTGATGCGTCCTGTCTCGAATGTGACGCAATGTTTCGTGATGCTCGGCTTCTTAATCTTCCCCTGGATATCTGTGAAGTGTTCCAGGAAGCGCTTGATGATATGAGAATGCGAAACTCAGGTTTTGTTGCTGCCATGTCAACCATTGCTATTTCTCCGTACACACTCTCCAAGCATGTTGCAATTAAGTCTGCCAATATTATGCAAATTATTGTTCCTTGGGAATCCTATTTTAAAGCAGTATTGGGCCTAGCTCCAGACTTTGCTGCTTGTCCTTTTGCTTCATAATTTTTATATTGCGAACAGTTATTTACTCTGTGACAATTATATCTATTTTTCTGTGACCAGCCGGTTTCATTGTAACAACTCCCTGTGAGAAAGAAATTTATAATTATTTTACGGGTTTATTGGAAAGGAAGGACAACAACGGTGTTTTATAATAAATTTCAAGAATATTTTTGAAAAATTCAAATTAAATGTAAACTTTTTTAATTTAAACAAACCCTCAACAATAATTTCTAAGGTTGTTGTTGTCCTCGATCCTAGATATCATTCCAGTGTTAAAATTTTAGGTTTCATATGTTTATTATACATTTATCGCTTTAACTGTTTTTTTTTTGTAAATTTAACAATTTGCATGTATTAATAATTTTGGCATTATTTTTACTTTCATTCGCATAGGTTTATATAAGAAATATATATATTAATCTTGACTTAAAAAATTTATGTTTATTAAACTGGATTAGTGTTTAAACTGCATGATACTGTTTTTAAGATAAAAATGGCGACCTGGACTTAACTCATCACGTGACATGATTGTAATGTTTAGTAAAACACGTAAACATTACACACACTAAACATCAAGTAATTCAATTATATTGTTTTATTTTTATTTTTATTTTTCATGTGTAAATAATAATTAAGATAAACCCGTCCATAGAAAATTTTAACGTTTTGAAAAAATTAGAAAAAATTCACCTAATTTTAAAATGAACTTTTAATGCGATAGCCTTGTTATCAAATGAATCTTAACCCTATCCCCGCTGGGGTACTTGAAAACCAGGATATGCTGGGGGGGGGGTCAATTTGACCCCCCCCCTCTAAATCCCATGTTTTATGTCCAAATATGACAAATGATACATCATTAGAAAGCTCTTGTGCTCTACTTTTAGAATCTGCAAAAAAATTGCAAATTTGCGAAAATTGAATTTTTTATCGCAAAATCCAGTTTTATAGTAAAAATGTTTGCAAAAAATGACAAATTATACATTTTTGAAAAGCCCTTGACCATGCCATTTCAAATATGCAAAAATTTGTGCAAACTTTTAAATAACCTGATTTTTAATCAAGAAAAACTAAAAATGTGCAAATTTCCTTTGACAGGTTGTTTGCAAAAAATTTGCAATTTTTTTTTTGCAAAACTTGTGCAATCCGTTTCCTTATGTCATAGGCTTTCCAAAAAGCTAAATTTGATCAAAATCTGACAAGTGAAAGTGGGTCAAAACAAAGATTTAGGTTGCTACAGGCAAAAGCAGTGAAAATTTCAACAGCCTCAGACCAATACTTTTTGAGTTATGTAAAAAAAAACTACAGGGAGGGGGTCAAATTGACCCCCCCCCCAGCGGGAATAGGGTTAAAGATTTACGCAATTTTAGTTTCTAAAGTTATTTTACCGTAAAACTGTAAATATAAACGAATTGGTTAAATTTAGCATAATAAGTTGAACCTGTTCTTCTGGATCAAAAATTAACCTGTCTCTTTTCCTAGTTTGGTTTACCCGCTGCTCCGTCCCGATCCGGTCAGCTAGTACCTGCTCCTAATATTCACGGATTAAAAACCTGAACTAACATTATGGATCAGAATCAAGGTTTTCCTGAGGTTCCAGACACCGTGGAGCATCTTTTCTCATGCAAGAACCACAAGGACGGGATCGATTTGTCAATCGGTGCTCCGGGTCCGGAAATCCTATGCAAACTTCCGGACATGTTTCAGAAAGCTACGGAAAAGCGAATGAAACAGGAGCAAGATTTCGGAAACTTATTCCAGTACGGACCCGAGCAAGGAATTGTCTCTTTTCGTAAAAATTTGGCGGATTTTCTTGAATCTGAATATGAATCTGCCGTTGATATTGAGGAGCTAATTCTAACCACTGGAGCTACTAATGGACTCTTCCTAACATGTTCTATCCTACTGGATACTAATGCTGTAGTGTATGTAGAGAACCCAACCTACTTCATTGCGCTCAAACTTCTAGCTGGCGATCTTGGGTTCAGGATTAAACCTATTCCGATGGACAAGGACGGAATTGATTGGAGAGAACTGGAACGAACCGTTCAGAAAAATGCTAAGGAGAATGAGAATGTAAAAACCAGACCAGGAAGATACCAAAGTTTGCTTTATATTATTCCAAACTATCATAATCCTACCGGAGTAACGTACAGCATAGAAACCTGCAAGGGTGTGTTGAAAGTAGCACGGGATAATAACATGTTGGTTATATGTGATGATGTCTACAATCTACTCAGCTACAATACTAAACCTGTATTCTCTAGACTGAAAGCTCTGGATAAAGATGGAGTTGTGATTTCAAATGGAACCTTCTCCAAGTTCTTGGCTCCTGGAGTAAGATTAGGTTGGCTTGAGGTTCCCAAGGCTCTGGTTTCAAGGTTTAGAAAATGTGGAGTTCTTCTTTCAGGAGGATCTCAAAACAACTATACGTCAGGTATAGTGTGTAGTATGTTGCAGGACGGAGTTATCAAATCCAATCTTGAATTCATTCGTAAACTGTACGGAGTCAGAATGAACTCGGCAATAGAGTATTTACGTGAAAACCTACCCTCTGGTTGGACTTGTTTCAACCCTGGAGGAGGATACTTTCTCTGGTTGTCGGCTGATCACGATCTCGTAGATTTCTCCGATAGCTTGGAGACAGCGGGTGTTACCGTCCTGTACGGTGAGCGAGCCTGTCCGTATTCCTACCTAGAGGAGGATTGTGAACAGAATTGGAAAAATTGTATTCGATTATCTATTGCTTATTATCCTACCGAGAAAATCCTCGAAGCGTGTCGTATCATCTGTAATGTTGCAGTGAACAATAAGTAATATTCCGTCTATATAATTATATTAATATTCTTACTGATCAGACTTCCTGGTACAACATGTGATTCTACACCTGTAAACTCTAGTTCTTTCTTTCTATTGTTCGTATAGTTTCGTAATAGTGTGTAAAATACTCCAGTAAAAGGTTAAACCTTGCTCTGGAAGAAAATGATTCATCAGTCCCCAAGGGATTGGATTTATCAACATTTTTTTGGAATAAATCGAAGGTACAACTTAACATGGATAAAAATTAAATATATACATATTGTGAAAAAGATTTATTTTATATTATTTCAGTATAAATGGGCTAAAAATGGTTGATTTGTTGGAGCTGGGGCGGAGAGGGAAGAGATCACTGGATGGGAATATTTCCTATAGAAAAGCTGGTCTTCTAGTATTTATTCTTTTAGGTAGGTTTACAAACCACAAGCAAGAAATCTTCAGGGGTGTATATTTTCTCAAAAAATCACCCCTCACCCCCCTTTGTTAATTTATTAAACATTCCACCTCTGAAGTTGTGTATCTTTGAATTTCATAGTTACTTAGTTTATATATAAAAAATATAGTACAGCCGAGTCTAATAAAAAAGCTAGTTGGTTGTCATAAATGCAATAAGTGAATAGTTTCTAAAAATTATTATGAAAAAAATGGTTTCATCTTAAAGAGATGATCGGGGCAGGGGGAGCGTAATTTCAAGTATTCTGAACTTACCTTAATTTTCTCGAATTGTTTCGCGCCTTTTTTTTTACTGTATGTCTTACATTTAAAAAAAAGTAAATTCAATTAAAAATTATTTTTTAGTATTTTTCTACTATATTGGGTCTGGGTCTATACGATGGTTCCTGGGACGGAAGGGGCCTCCAGTTCTCCAACCCCTCCCCTCCTGCCTCGCCTCAAAGCTCCTAAGGTACCAGGACATCCTGGACAGCTACAACGGGCACAGGAGCGGGGAGGACTTCATTTCGTTTGTTGGAAACGGAAACATTGGGCTGAGGAATCATAATTAATCATTTCGACATTAGAACTTATTGACAATTTCATGATGAAGGAGAAGTAGAAACTTTTAGAACCTTAATCAAAACTGTTGTGCTGTGATTCCCGGGATTAAGCTTTTTCCCGCATTAGATTAATTCATCTTGGATACCCCCCGTGGTGGTCTTACCCTACAAGTATAACTTAAATTTTTGAATCAATACTTGCCATCAAAATTTTAAAGTTTTCACAATGTATATCGATATCAATCATTGTACAGTGAGGCTCATAAAACTCGGGAATGAAAGTCGACATCATAGCAATTAATACACTCTTAATGATGTTACAAAGCAAATAATTTTGCCAGTGGCATTAAAATCATGTTACAAAGTGAAATTGGCCTATGTACACTGCACAGTTGCTGTGTTTCATTCTCATTGGACTATTTAGAATCAAATTTTAAGTCCAGGTTTACGGGTCTCACTGTAAAGTTTAGATTTGCGCGCTATTTCAATAATAACAAGAATTGACCAATAACAAGTATTGACCTAGATGATAATATTTGAAAATCTGTTGAAATGATAATTGTTGAACAGTGTTAACGCAGCGAGTGAAATATATATAAAATCTAAACGAACTCTTTCCCTGGCTGTTAACTTTAAACCTCTTGTAAGCGTGTATCTGGAGGGAGGAGGAGAACAGGAATCTGTTCAGGTACAATTACATCCAGAACTAGACCTGGGTTCTTTCCGTTTATAATAAATATTTGAGTTTTTTTTTCGGATTTCAGAGGTCTCACGAAAAGCTACGAAAAAATATTGCAAACTTGTAGCAGTAAGATTTATCAATTTTTCCGATATCGTAGATATTTGTGAATGTGAGTCTACTGAAAATCGAAAAAAAACCTAGATATTAAAAATAACGGAAAGACCGGGCTGCCTAGGCCTATCCAAAAGACAATGGTGGGCCTACACAGTTTAAAGATTCCGAAATTGCATTTTAAAAGGTGAACTTTTTCCCTATTGGGGATTACCACTGAAAAAAAATTACTTTGATGTGTGTGTGTGGGGGGGTATGTGATGATGTCTACAATCTACTCAGCTACAATACTAAACCTGTATTCTCTAGACTGAAAGCTCTGGATAAAGATGGAGTTGTGATTTCAAATGGAACCTTCTCCAAGTTCTTGGCTCCTGGAGTAAGATTAGGTNAAGTCACTCAGTGCGGGGGTGTTTAAATATAAGATTCTCTAAGATACCCTTTTAACTTTTACCTGATCAATTGTTTAGGATTGTAGAAGATAACATCGCTTTTAACTTGAAAAGTAAAAAAACAACTATTTAAAAAAGAAAAACACGGACATTTAATTTTTATATTGTACATGATCAGAGAAAGCTTTAAAAGGATACCTTTTTTAATCGGACATACCACTCGAGCAATAATGGTTCACTTGCGTTAAAAATCCTTTTTAAGATTTTAATTTTTGTCAGGTCATAGGCTTAGTCAGAAGTTCATTTAGTTACGCTTATATGGTGCCTAAAGATAGTAGCTTGTAGAGCTGCGCGTATTATGTAACGAGAACAATTTCAAGTATAAATTCAAAAATTGTATAGGTTCCTAATTTTTCTTCTAAAATTTAAATGATGAAACCTATAAAATTTGGCTTGTGAAGGATTTTAAATTGGATTGTGAAGGATTGTAATTTGGATTGTGAAGGATTGTAAATTGGATTGTGAAATAGGAATTATGTTTGGAGTTTTCTATTCAGTATTTAACAAAAGGATTCTTTAAACCACTTGTGATTTCATTTTCTTCGTTTTAATGTTTTAAAATTTATAAGAAAATCTTTTTCTAAATTAAAGTGCAAAGCTCAAAGCTTATAAAGTATTTTTTCTTGACTTTTTGTGTTTTTCCTGCCTCCCCTTAGTATTTTTGACAAATTATCTTGACCTTTTAAAAGTTGCATGAAAAATGGGTTCTGAAAAATAAAATTTTTTTTTTTTTTTGAAGGGACTGTAAACATAATTCAAAGTTACTTTCCATTTATGGAACTGCATATCCGATTTACAATGATACGCTTAAAATTGAATAACAAGTTTCTCTTTGCTTATTTTCTTCAGCATTTTCTCTAAAAAAGTGACCTTCGTCGCAGAAAAAATGAAGTTAATTGGGTTTTTTTTTCAATCTTGAAAAACGAAGATATCTTCCACGTATTGATCAGATATAGGGTTTAGGGTCCGTTTGTAATCCGGGCATAGCTCTTTCTAAATTAGAGGTCACTTGAAATTACAACGGTAGTTCCTTAAATATATAAATAATTTTTAGAATTACTGTCCAATCAGAACCAGTAGGATAAACAATCAATATATAATGTTGCCTGTTTAGAACTATCCCCGGAGTTCTGGTTCAGGAGCTGAAGATCCACAACCCTGGAGAATATCCTGCTCAGCTATCAGTAGAGAAACTGGGAATATCACAGTGGGACGGAGCTACTTCACAAACTAAGGTTAAATCCTCTAACCAACAACACCAATCAAACAGGGGCTTATCTAGGATTAATCGGGGGAATCTGGGTGAACATTTTGCATCCAGTACACCCAAACAACTGAACAACATTTAGACACATTAAATTTGACTCAAATAATATCTTAGTTTATCAAATCTTCCTTAGAGAGTATTTTTAGTCCATCAAATATGTCACTCGTACAAAATCTCGGGTAACCCCTGACTAGAACTATTTGGATCAAGCGCCTTTTGAAGTTGGTGGCCATTTTAATACATTTCATTGTATGGTTCGTTTTTTGTTTTATTGATTGATTGGTCATTATTTGCTTGTTTGTTTGATTTGCCAACTTACAAATTAATTGCTGATAGGTTAAATTTTTAATTGATTTGTTATTTTAAATTATATTATTTTCAATTTTTCATATTTAATCATCTATACGTATTTAGTTATCTTCTTAGATTGTTAGTTAGTTCTTTTTATTATTGCATTTTTTGTTTATTTCATGTTAGCGGATACATTCAATAGAATTACAAGAACGTCAGATAATCCTCTTTCACTTCGTGTCAATTTTTGTTAAACTGATTTTCGTAAACATTTTTTAGCTAAAGAGTTGTTTCGAGCCAAGAAATTATTTACACTGTGATATAAAAACTTTTACATCTAGATATTATAATTCATTTAAATTTTTCTAATCTGATCTGCTTTCTAGCGTTTGGACAAAAAGAGCCCCCCAAAAAAGATTACATAAAAAGAAAACAGAAAGGCCAAATTTTAGAGAAAAAAAGGAAAATGTCAAAAAATGAAAACAAAGAAAAAAGATTTGACCAAATTATCATTCATAAACCTTCCCTGTGGTCACGTGATGTCCCTGCACAAAAAATTTGGGCCCGATCGGTTCAGCCGTTTTGACGTTTATTGGATACAAACAAACAGACAGACAAACCAAATTTATATATATATTTTATTTATATTTTGAGGAAAATTTTTAAAAAGAGGTAATAATGCTTCCCATCTCCAATATTTTATCTAGTCTTTATAACGTTAAAAACTTAAAGGAGGGGGAGGGGGGGGGGAGTAGCTTCATTATTAAGCAACTTCATTTAAATAATTTAAATAGTTCTGGAAATATAAGTCTCTAGAGTCTAGACTCTGCCATTGAGACAAAAGTAAGTCTCTAGACTTGAGATAATTTGTGAAAATTATAAAATAAAAACCAGAAAATCAATTCGTCTCAAGTCACTCAGTGCCTGCCTTGGTCTATCTTTAACAAAATACTAAGAAATTTAAACTCGAGACTAAGTTTTTAATTAAGCCTCGCAATTCTTATATTTGATGTTTCTAGGTTATCGAGCACGGTGAAGGCGGGCAGAAGTATAGTCTTGTTACTGGAGAAGTAACATCTGAGTCTAGAAGGATGATGGTTAGTGTTGTATCTAAGCGTTTAGATTCAAGTATTGAGATTGCTCCAAGGATGACTACCAGTCTCAGAATACTCACAGGTACTAGTACTTAAATTGGCTAACAGCTCTTTAATCTTTAGAAAGTACTCAAAAATGTTTCCCATTATAAAGTTCATTAATTTTAGAAGATGTCTATAAGTAAGTGTTTGTCGTCCTATTAAAACTATAGCTAACCAATATAAAACTTTAGCTAACTAATATTGCTTAAGAAACAAAAAAATTCATTTACATCTTTCTGAACCACCTTAGATTTTTCTTCTGGGCTCTATGAAATCCATGTTGTATACGTACTCCAATACCCATAACTCCGAAGAGAACCCTAAAAAGATTAGTTGTATAAATCCCGGCCCCATGATTGGAACTGCTTTGACGAACCTTGAAAAATAATAGAAATAGGCTGTACACTCTTATGATTTTTAACTTCCTCTAACTGGCAGGTTGAGTGTATTAACCCTGGACTTTTAACCTTTTATGCACGCACAAGTAAAAGAACAAGTTGGTTTAATTCTTTATTAACATCAACGTGGTGAAACTGAAACAAAAACACAAAGTTAGTTTTATTTATAAAAATGTTTAGAGTAAAATATCAGTTGTCAGATAGAAAGATAAAACATTTGTCTCATTTATAAAAAGTATTTTAGTTTCTTTATGAAAAGGCTTTTAATTTGAAATGTTGAAGTTTGTTTGATAGAGATCATTTGCAGACTGATTGATAGATAACAACTAGTTGATTGATGGACTCAGAGAAGAATGTTGAGATTGATTGAAGGCTTCAGAAAGAAATGTCCAGATTGATTGATGGGATCAGCAAAGAGATGGTCAGCTTGATTGATTGATACAGAGGAGTGAAGCAAGTTACTACTAGATTATTAACAAGGTTACTTACAATTTGGTGCTTAGTCCAGTCCAGTTAGTGAGGTTTAGTTTAGTTTGGTTTCAGGTTTAGCTCTAAACTTCCAGGATCAGAACAGTTAAAACACGATGGCTAATCATGCCATTCCTGAACAAAGATCAATCTTATGCTTTGTTAAGATTGATTCCTTACCCAATGTTTAAGCTCTCTTGAAAATGTATCTACCTCTCTACAAAAAGGACGGTACCCTGTAGAGTGTGATTAGCTGTTTTAGATCAAGGAGGTTTATAGCGGGTTCTCCTATAAATACATTTTGTAAAGTAAGGGTTACGACATCATCAAGGTTGTTTTTACCTAACAAGGCTCTCAATCTTCTGAATAGGAGAGACTTGGAGCTGCGAGTTGTTCAACTTTTAGCGGTCGGAACTAAAATATTTATTAATAGTTTGCCTCCATTTAAGTTCAACATTTGGTTTCAACTTATGAGCTAGGTGTTTACCTTGACTCGAAAGGAGATCAGCCGCACCGAGTTTAGCAGGCCCCAGTGATCCTCAGCTCAATAACGATCAGGTTCATCAGATTTAGTTTCAGATCTGGTATTCCTTAATAAGAATAGCTTTATTAAGCAAAAGCAATTCTTGTAAAAACCCAACTAGATATTGCAATTATTAGCAATATCCTACCTGATTTTCTGAGCTGGAAAGCTCAACAGGTTCAAGAGCAGGTAGTAGAGCTTCAGTCTTGAAGATCATGACCTGCCATTCTACTCTGAAATATAAAATATTAAAAGCTTTATATTGGGATAATTGTGATTTGGCACAAATATGCATTGAAGATCACAATTGTTTGAGGTTAGGCTTAATTCCAGGTTCAGGTAGAGTTTTCTCAATCTGGAGAGGAGCCATGATACTCCTAAAGTTTACATAGGCGACTTTTTTTTGCATGGAATCAAATTGGGACCTCTGAAAGAAATAGTTTGAAATATAAACAATAAACATTATAGTAACCTAAATAAGTATTAAGTATTATGACGTCTAAGCATTGTTAAGTTGTTTTTTTCTCTGCATCTTCTATACAGATTTATATAGAATGATTAAAATTATTAATTGTTTAAAGTTAACAGATAGGTTTTAAAAATTAGACACAGTTTTACGTCAAACGAAAGTATTGAACGCCAAAACAACTCCTTCTAAAATTAAAAACTATATACTAGTGCACTTTTTAGAGTAATTTCAAAAGATTATTGAGACTTTAAAACCTTAATCCCTGTTTTTTGGGTCACCCTGTATTTTCTTGAGAAAACATTCAGATTGAAGAAGGGTCCCTTCCAAACCTAGCCAAAAAGTAGGAGTAAATGAAAGCTGTTTATTTTGTTATTATTTCTGTTATTTTCTTTATATCATTTTCATGTTTATAAATTAAATCTGCCTTATTTTACCAACAAAAGTAACCTTCGAATGCTGATTTTTTGTTACTGTTGTAACTCCGTTTACAATCCAATCGGGACGAAGTAATCTAAAAGCTTAACAAAGAAATATATTTCCTCAAATAAACCTAACATATTTGATTTTAAACTTCTAATTTATCGTTGAAGGCACATTATATCTCATGATTCTAGGAGTTGCGTACAGGGAGGTGAACTCTCATGAGAGTCTACGCAAGGAGATGGAGAAGGAAGCGGTGGAGGGGGTTAAGTCAGCGTTAGCAATGACCTGGCAGTCCCTTATAGATGCTCACACAGAGGTAGCATTATTATTATTATCATTATCATTATTATTATCAATATTATTGATATTATTATCATCATTAATATTATTATTATTATTATTATTATTATTATTATTATCATTATCATCATTATCACCATCATCATCATCATCATCATTATCATCATTGTTATTGTTGTGAATAAGGATAGCTCTCCCCCTCCTTACCTAATAGAGGAAAAAGAATAGCAAGACAAATGACAAAAAATAACATTTTAATATTTTATTGTGTTATTGAAACATTTTGATATACTATCGGTTATATCTTTTATTTTTTTCCCCTTACTTTTTGTCCGTTTGGAGCTTAAAAACGTAATGGGACTTTATATGGGTTGGATTGTTTCTGACTAGAATTTTAGAACAATATATCATAACATTTTTCATGCTGTAAATATCGTAGAAGAATTCCAACGAATTTTAATACAATGCTTGCTCTAGGCTTGGAGAAAGCTGTGGACGACAGGGTTCGGTATCTCCTGGTCGTATGCAGAGGGTGCAGTGAACGGGAACCGGGTGAACGCGACCATTTACTACGTCCTCTCCCACTCTCCCTCCTTGCTCCTACACAACACACCACAGTACAAGATGACGGAGCTGCAGGTAGAGTATATAATTTCTGCCAGTTCTTAGAATCAATTTCAACTTAAAGCGGATCTGAAAATCTACACTTCAGTGTTATAAATATCGGTATCAAGCATTGATCTCCTTCTTATGTAGACTTAATTTAATTCCTTTTCGATATCCCGTGGTGGCCATACACTGAAGGGATAACTAAAATGAAAGGATCAAGCATTGGTGCCCACTGCCCAGAGCGAATATCGAGATCAAGCGTTCAAGATTAACAATACTAAATACAAGATACGCAAGCTTTTAGCTTCCTGGATCCGGATCCGCAAAAATATGCGGATTCAAGGGGCAGAATATTAACCAATAACTGAAGAAAAAAAATGTTTTCTCTTAAAACCCAAACCTGAATTGTTGAAAACAGAGAGATCATAAATATTTCCTGATCTCTGAATGGTTAAACAAGTTCTAGCATAAAAATAAGCGAAAAAAGAGTGTTAAAAAATTGTAAATCTTATAGAAATGTTCCTGACCTGGATCCAGATCCGGATTCATTTTTTTCCAGTGCGGATCCAGGATCTGGATCCGGATCTGGATCCGTATCTAAATTAGATGGATGCCTATCACTATTTTCTTCGAGTATTGCTAGTTTTTCACCAAAAACTAAATTTTTCCAAATTTTCTTCTTTTTTGCTCATTTTTATGGCGCAACTTAAAACCATTTATTGATTAGGAAGGATTTAATACTATTTCAAGTAACTCGATAGTCATTAGTCGACCGTTAAAATGTGTTTAGAAAAAAAATGTTGCGGATTCTCAGCACTAGTTTCTGCTATTTATCTCTATTCAAGTGTTAATTTGATACTCTCCTGTATTAAAGGGCTACCTGAGCTATGCTGAAGGTTGTTACTCCGGAGTAAGAACTCTTGAAGCTCCAAACCTGTGGACTTCTCTTGCAACTCTGAAAGAGGTAATAGATATAAATAAAACTCGAGTTTTGGTTTGTTCTTGCATTATGTGTTATGAACAAAGTTACATCAATGAATAACTGTTCAGGCAGTAACAGTTGTCTCTTACTGGCTTCTTACCCTGGAGAAAAACGGCTGCCATTATCTTCTCAAAGCTGGAGCAGACGGAGTAGTTCAGGTTAGCAGACGGAGAAGTTTAGGTTAGCAGACGGAGTAGTTCAGGTTAGCAGACTGAATAGTTCAGATTAGCAGACGTAGTAGTTCAGGCTAGCAGACGGAGTAGTTCAGGTCAGCAGACGAAGTAGTTCAGGTTAGCAGACTGAGTAGTTCAGGTTAGCAGACGGAGTAGTTTAGGTTAGCAGACTGAGTAGTTCAGATTAGCAGACGAAGTAGTTCAGGTTAGTAGACGTAGTAGTTCAGGCTAGCAGACGGAGTAGTTCAGGTTAGCAGATGGAGCAATTTAAGTTAACAAATCTAAGAAGATCTGAACACTAACAAAAAAATTTGACGATATACATGATGTAATGAAAAGCAAGAAGTAGCTAAATCGCACATACTTAGTTCATCCACTCTATTGTGCGCCGTGTAAGCTAAAAAGTAGGGGTTTAACCACATCTGCGCGGTTCAACCATGTCTTGCTATTCATTAAATCTGCTCCTAGGAAAACGGGAGTATTTTCGAAACTTTTTAGTACAATTAGTAAATTCTACATATCTATTATCTATGTATTTACAGATACTGATACTGATACTGATACTGATACTGATACTGATACTGATGATTGCATGAAAGCATGAAACAATTTGTTTATGAATAAAATGTTATAAGAAGATTGTTGCGTTTCAACTGATATGTATTTATATTGTGTATTTTAATTATAGGCAATGGTTTTATCCCTTCCTGGATTAAAGTTTAGTAATCAGCATCTAGAGCTTGATGTTCATCCAAGAGAACTCCACAGGTAACTTCATAACTCTTCAAGCATTGCTTAGGATCCTTTTCATTTTAATGCAGATCCGGATCCATGTCATGACCATTTCCTTAAGATTTAATAATTTTTCAAACAGATAAAAAAAATTTAAGCTTACGCCTTAAACTTAATAATCAATTCAGAGATTATAAAGTTTTAATAATCGCTTATATTCGTTGAGATTTGTGTTTTGAGAGAGCAAATATTATATGTTTACCAGGTTTTGATTGGTATTTTGTGCCTTGGATCCGTATATTTTACGGATCCGGATCCAGGAAGCCAAAATGTTTCGGATCTAACGGATCCGGATCTTAAGCACTAATATATTTAAGTTCATAAGAATAAACAAATTTATCTATTCTAGGGATATTATGTTGCGGCGGGTGAACTACGGAAATGAGACTCATATTAACATCAGTATCAACGTCATGGACGACAACAGAGCAGCTCTCTTCGTTAGTATGGATAAAAAGAACAGGTTAGATTTTGTACATGTATTGCAGTAACCCGTCCACAGGCTGTTGATGAAGGATTCTTGTATGGCCAACTACGAAAGTAGAACCTAACCATTTCAAAACCTTTAAGTTCTTGGTAAGCGCTTTCTGTGTCACGCCTTTTCTGTTTTTCAGACATCAAAACATTGTAAATCAGGAGTTTATTAAAGATGAATAATGAAAATGGATGAACATTGAACATGGTACTCCCAAAAAATGTCACTTAAAAGGAGTGTTCGCGGAAAATGAAATGGAGTATAGGCTGATATCGAATTGAATTCACATACTAATTATACTTTTATCTTCTACCCAAGAGCGTAGCGTCCATTTATATTCACAGAGTTGCATCATTCCGCTCAGATCGTAAATAATTCAATTAAATTTAAAATTAATCATTCAGATATCACAACATATGAATATCGAATTCAATTCTATGCATATATCGTATATAGTTGATTTTTCTTAATATTTATATTTTTATATATAAAACGACGATTATTTGGTCACATAGGTGTTGCTGCAGCGCTCGATATTTCAGGGATTTGACTTGGAATAGGATTTTTGATGATGAAGACGACATTTTTATATTTTCCAGGAATGTTCGAAAATCCAGCGCCAGCGAAAATTATGTTAAAGAAACAAAATCAAAAATATTATGAAATATTAACTATATACGAATGCGTCGAAAAATAATCGATTAACTACTGTTTGTAATATCTGAATGATTTGTTTGGAATTAAATTGATTTGTTTAAGATCCTAGTAGAATGTTGCATCATGTGAGTCGTTTTTAACAATTTTCTCCTTATTAGACGCAACAGATAGAAGTAAGATTAGTAGCGATCAAAAGCGCTTTTTTATCACATTAAGCCCATACCCCCTTTCATTTTTCGCTAACACTCCCTTTAAGTATCTTTATGTTTAAAAAATTTGCCACAAAATCTGTAGCAGAACACCTTATGTAATTATTTTAAAAATTCGAATTTTGAAGGGATTATTATGGTTGTGATGCGGGTTGTCTGGATCCTCCTGTACAACTTGGTCTAGTTCCTGTTCAGTTTCCGGTCAAACTAACCGATCCTGTCACTGCAATCCTTTATATTACAGGTATAAAACACTCAATTTTCAGGAAGAAAAACAATGATATCTTCGTCTTCTTTGATCGGAAAAAGGTCTAATTGGCACCGTTTTGAAATGGACAGGCCACAGGGTCACTTAATTTAACGGCTGCACTCTGCAGTCCCATTAATCTTCCCGTCGCCATTTTTTAAAATAATAATTTCACTAAAATTTTAGGATTAGAGATTTTATTTTACATTTTTCCGAATCTAAAAAATAAATGTTTGAAAACAGTTTTAATTAAGTTTCAACATCTGAAAACATTTAAATTTAGCTGATCAAGAGCATATGATGGACCTGAAGCATACGATCCACGTAAAGGAGGTCGTAGAGGCTCCAGCACACCAACCTCATGTCCTCGAACTGCACAGGTAAGATATGGTTACAAGTAAATGAATTCGAATCAAATCATTTATTACTGCTGAAACAATTTTACAATTATTACGATAAAAAGATAAAAAAAAATCAGATCCACAGCGTATTCAGGAATTTGTCCGGGGGGCTTAAATTTTTTTCTTTCCAGGGTGGGGGGCTAAGCACCCGTTGGGGCATGAAAAACCCCCTGAAATCAATAGATTTCACTGGTCCAGGGGGGGGGGCTTAGCCCTAGTAGCCCCCCTGAATACGTCTCTGCCCCTTTTAAACTTTTAAACGAAATTTTTGAATTGATAAAAAAAAACATATTATAAGAATTTGAGACGAATGGTAAGGGTATATATTAGAAAGAAGTATCTCCAACTAGCAAGAAATTTCCTCCAATCAGCTAATAAAAAATATCTTAAGAATACACGGAAAAAATAAATGGGGGAAATGACTTTTTTAAAGAAATATATATTCCAGATCTGGAAACAAGCTTGGAGGTTTACCTGTAATATTCTGGATATCCATCGCCTCGCTTATCATAGTGTTCCACCTATTCCTGTTCAAGCTGATTTACAACGAGTACTGTGCAGGACAGGAGAAACAGAGGATCAGGTTAGTTTATGCCAGATTACCTTGAGAACCCAGCGTTAATTTCCCATGGCACAGTTACTCCCGCCGTTTACCCGCGCTTGGAATTAAATTACGATTTTAGCTTTTTTTCTAGTAAAGTGGACCCATTTAATTTAAAATCTCAAACGGAAACTAAGAACATTCCTTTGGGTCTCCCGAGTTACCCAATTAAATTTTGAGGCAAATCGGTTACGGGGTTCGATTTCCTGAATTATGATCGTATAGCCTAGCAAACAGAGACTACATTATAGATTTTAGAGAAGGGCTTTGAAAACCACTAGTCGCTGTTTGAAGTACCGGACCGAATTTTTGGCAGCAAGTTCTTGACAACAGTATTCGTTCAGATTTTAGAGAGCTGAAAACTGAATTTGTATTTGCATAAATCGATCTTTAGCGAGAGTCTAAGAGTGTGCTGAAGATTTGAATTGATTTTTTTGGGGGCGGGCGGTGGGGGGAGGGGGGAACTCACATACCTTTTTGGGTTAACTTTTTGTAATTTTAAAACATTTTTTTGGTCAACGAGTAGATTTAACCAATAAAAGGTTTTTAAGGCGATATGGAATCATCTAATTTAAATTCTTTCAGAAATTCTTGACGATTGACCTAAGAACCAATTTGGATTTGAACCAGGAATCTTGGGGCTCTTGTCTCCATAAGATTTTTGATAATATTGTTCATGCATTTTAATTGGAATGTACATTGTGTGAAATAGGTAGATACATGAAATTATTGGTTTTATAAGAAGACAACATTTAAAATTATTATTTTTACTTTTCAGGAAGCATTCGGACTATAACTAGGCGATATCACCGAATAGAGCTAGAGGTCTCTTCCTGAGCGATCATCTACATCTTATAGTGATAGACTGTTATTTGGCGATCATCTACAGTATTCATACTGTTACTTGGCGATCATTTACAGTTATAGAGTGCTACTTGGTTACAGTATTCGAACTAAAGCCATGTACATTATCAGTCATTCAGACTTTAAGAATTCTTCCTGATGTTGCATTATTCGATCCAAAAAAAAAACATCAATAATATTCATCATATTTATATATTTCATCCGGACAATTGATCACTTCCCGGATTCCCATCTGCAAAATAGAATGATCAAATGTCTATGCACTGTACTAAACTAGAATTAATGTTAGTCCTTATTATTTTAACTTGATCGTATATGCAAACTCTTTTCTTTAAAATCTAAAAAATTTTCGTATTTGTAGTTTTGATATATGTACAATGATTGATTGATTAGTTAATAATGAATCGTGTTAATACCGAGGTACTGTGTGCCTCCAACTAATCTGTGATCCCCACGTATTTAAGCAAATATTTTGTTTCAGACGAAATGTCTCTCGGACTGCTGACTGCTTATTCTTCCTCAGACGATGATGATGATTCAGGGATGTAAATTAATCCACAGACCCGCCTTTTTCTTTTTTCTATTTTTATGAAAAAAATGCCTTTCCTTCTCCTTAAATGTTCGAAACTTCATATCTTTTCTATTACACTAGGCTTTTAGGGCACTTCGCGTCCATCTTCTATTTCTACTTTTAATTGTGGCTTTATCTGTGAGCAGAGTGAGTCGTGAGCATCTCTTTGTACAGTATAAAACAAAAACAAGAAAGGTTGCGGATTTCATAATATTTTCTCGCGCATTTTCAAAATTCTACAAAAATAAAAAATCTTTAATTCAAATTTTAAAAATTTTGATCATTCATAAATCTTTCCTGGGTTCACGTGAGGTCCCACACAAAATTGGGCCCGATCGGTTCAGCCGTTTTGGAATTTATTGGATACTGCAAACAAACAGACATCCAGACAAGCTAATTTTATAAATAGATGGTTTTAATCTTTTCATGAAATAATGCCTTTCCGCTTCTCAAATGATTAAAATTTTGTATCTTTTCTTTTATATGGTTCTAATCTTTTCTTGAAATAATGCATTTTTGCTCCTCAAATGTTTCAATTTAAATGTAAAGCAATTCAATTCTAACGTGAGAAAAAACTCTTCTTCTGTGAGAGTGATAAACCCATGGAACAGTTTGCCAGACTATATTAAAAGAGTCTAAAACCTTAAACATTTTCAAGAACAGTTACGATGATCATGTGAAAAATGTCGAGCATATATAGTGAAAAATATCAAGTTTAAGAATCGCTTTTTCTTACCAAAAATGGTATCTCAGCGAAACCAGAACAATATAATACAATATATATTAAATGGTTTAATCTTTTCATGAAATAATGCCTTTTCAGCTCCTCAAATGTTCAACATTTTTTATCTTTTCTATTACATGGTTTTAATCTTTTCATGAAATAATGCCTTTTCAGCTCCTCAAATGTTCAACATTTTATATCTTTTCTATTACATGGTTTTAATCTTTTCATGAAATAATGCCTTTTCTGCTTCACAAATGTTCGAAAGTATTTATTATTTCTAAAAATACGTGGTTTTAATACTGAATTTAATTTTAGAGACTGTGGGACCAAACATAGAATTAAATAGATTGTTATTTACGTGAATCTGTTTTTTTGAAACAAAATTAAATGGGGATCTTAGAGAATTAAAGAAATGTTAATTAATTCGCATTTTTTATATTTTTTTCTACATCAGATGACAAGAATACCGAACCTTCATCAAACCACCTTAATAGGCCTGAAGTATCTACCAGAACACATTTAACTTCTAGTCTAGAGTCTTCTCAAGATAATTCTAGCGGAGGAGAAGTTGCAGGAGTGGATCAATCTACCTTACTCGGAGAAGAACCACACATCTCCGATCTCGAAGTGGGACCTCGACGAAAGTTTCTCAATCCTCGCCTTAACATCTGTCCTCCACCGGACCAGGAGCCCGGTCTAGAAACATTAAACCTTACTCATGGTCTACCTGAAGTACTGACAGAATCCGAACCTGAGATCGACCAGAAGTATACTGACAACTCGGATGAAGTATCTCATCCCTACTATGATACTGATTTCTTGATTCCAGGTAGAAACCAGGTTATCCCTGGTAAATACCTCCTACCTCCTGAACAACCTAAACCACCTCCTGGTGAAGAGGGGGAGGAGGAGATTACGACGGAACCAGAAGAAAATCCTTTTCACAAAGAGCTTCTTCCAGGAATGAGTAAAAGAGAATATGAAAGGTAAATAATGTTTTCATCTGAATGAATTTTACAGAGAATCTGCTTGATAGCTAGGTTTAAGAAATCCCTACTTTCTCTGTTCTCTCATTGGTTGATCACACTTCATGGCTTGATCTCAATATCCACAATATCTCTGGAGCAATAAATGGATTGTTTAAGGTTGTTTTGAGCAACCCTTTTAGTTCTTTGATGCATAATATTAAAAAACAATCAGTTTTCTGTTCTAGAGTCTGGGTCATGGAAATTATTGACTATTGTTTTTAAGACGATGGTTGCGTACCTTTAGAAAACTAGTTTATTCTTAGTAAGGAAACGAAAAAAATTGACAGACTCTTTAAATAAATAAGAATTGTAGTATTTTAAACCCATTCCACATCACATAATTCTAAAACTAATAAAAATAATGATTCTGATTAAGTTTGAATTTTGATCATTCTTTAAGAAAAATAAGATAAGCTTGAACTATATTCTGATAAATATTATTAAGACTGAAGTCTGCAGGCTGGAAGGATGTAACTACAACTGGAAGCTTAGAGGAGAACCCGTCCAAAGATATAATATTTAATACTCCTCTACCCTTCAAGACTCAGGTTAATACTTATTTATTAAGGGACCGTGCACTGATTTTAAGTACATTTTTAAGGGGTTTTTTTTATCTTTTTATTTTACCCATGGATAAGAGAAACAACCTTGGACTGGTTTCCAGTGTATACAAAAAAATACAGAAATGCTTCTACTTAATATATCTTAGGGACCCTAAAACAAATTTCAATAACTGATTCATATAATGGCATATCCAAATTAAATAAATTTTAAATCTTGTTCTGATCATGGACGAATGAAATATTTTATTTGTTCGCTCTGAAAGTTTTTATTTTTTTTCAATTGCGTTTTCTCAGTAAAAGTGACTGAATTCCACACTAAGATAGAAACACGACAATATCTTCCTCATTGTTGATCAGATGTAAGTTTAAATGGTACCATTGTGAATCGTACTTGCCACTTATTAAATGGCGGTTCACTTAAAACTACTTCTACAGTCCCTTAAATGAATATTTACTCTAGGAAGGATTATCCTCAGCTCCAGTTCAAACTGGTTCAGCAGAACAACAACAGTACACAGAGGAGGAGTACTATAGCTACTACATGTACCAGTACTATCAGTTTGTAGAGTGGTACAACCAGGAGGTAATATGTACTGTATACTGAGTACTATAGCTACTACATGTACCAGTACGTAAGTAGATTTGTACAACCATCAGGTAATATGTTTTGTGTACGAAGGAGTACAGTTATCACATGTACCAGTTCTATTAGTTCGTAGAGTAGTACAACCATGAGGTAATATGTACTGTGTACTGAGGAGTACTTTAGCTACTATAGGTACTAGTACTATCAGTACGTAGAGTGGCACAACCAGGAGTTAATATGTACTGTGTACTGAGGAGTACTATAGCTTTTATATGTACCAGTACTATCAGTACGTAGAGTGGTACAACCAGGATAAGGAGCACATTTAATACGTTTACCAAAACTATCAGTACGTAGAGTAGTACATTCAGGAGATAATATGTACTGTGTACTGAGGAGTACATTTTTACGTGTAGCAGTACTATCAGTTCGAAGATTGGTACAACCAGGAGATGATATGTACTGTGTGCATCTATGTATAGTAGCAATCTACATTCTACATAACCCCAAAAAGATTCTTAGAAAATAAATATTTAATTTTTTTCTCGAAAAATGCATTCATTTCTTTTCCTCATTGATTAAATTTAAAAGTAAAAATTCAGCTATTACAAAGCGAACATAGATTTTTAAGAAGTTGAAATAAAATGATTTTGAATTTGATAGAATTATAATTTTTATCATTCCAATGAACATGAACATATAACTATGCACTGCAGTGTACGTATCCCTGAACTGCATTTTACCTCCTTATTGTTTAGAATGAAACCACTTACGATGCATCAAACGAATATCTCTACAATTACTACAATGAATGGTGTATGCAGCATGATATAGGAAATACGGGGATGCCTGTTTCCTACTCATCAAATCCGTCCTACTCCGGGTTCCAAACTGGGACTCCGGAGATCAAGCAAAAAACCTTTGAAGAGCTACAAGAACAAGTATGTATTAGTAACTAAAGGGCTCGGCGTTGCCCGTTGGAAAAAAAATTGATGAAAATAATTCGGGGGTTTTAGCCCATGAGTATCCACAAAAAATGTCAGCCCAATCGGTCTAGCCGTTTGGCCGGCTATACGGAACATAGAAATGAATGTCTTGTTTTATTATATAGATAGATTTACTAAACGTGAGAGGTAAAATGTCTACATTTCATTAAAGGGACTGTAGACGTAATTTAAGAGATCTTCAGCTTAAAGCGGTAGCTGGTGCTCTTTAGCCCTTTAACGGATTGATAATAAGAAGTGTATATTATCTGTTTTCTGGCCTGAAAAGATACAAATTTGACCTATTTCCTTCCATTCTCTTTTTGCGTAAATCCATAAAAAAAAAATAGAATTTAAATGGAGTCACTTAAAAATAAATGGTCTAAAACCCTTTAAAATCGTTTTCTTCTTCTATATAATAAAACAAGACATTCGTATATATATATATATATATATGTTGCCTATAGCCGGCCAAACGGCTGGACCGAATGGGCTGAAATATTTTGTGGAGACTCGTGGGTGGCCGGGGGGTGCTTCAGGCAAAAAAAATATTTTTCCCCAAAATTTTTATTTTTTTTTAAATATTATTTTTCAAATTTTTTTGTTCCACGGGCAACGATGGTCCCTTCAGCTAGTTTTATATAATTCCCATTTCCCGTAGAGTAAAACTCTTAACCTCTAAATAATGCATTATATTATTACAGGATAGGCAACTAGAACAATTCTTCAACTCTGCTCCGAACGAGTATACGATGCAGCGCGCGGCGTTCAAATCAACTTTCCGCGGCACTAAAACCTACCGGGAGAACAATAAGGACTTCAATCCGGCGCACTTCAATCAGCTGACCAAGGGAGCAAAGAAGATTCGGAAAATGTTCCTTCAGTCCGGCTCCGTGATGACGGATAAGGAGAGGTATATCCCGGAGAAGGATTTACCAGAGAACCGTGAACCTAAGTCAAACAAACAACTAAAACGGGAAGCGTGGAAGTCAAAAATGAAAGTAATGATCAACAAGAAATCTTG